GGGGGGGGGCGGAACATAATTGTAATAATTTGTACACTGTAAATTGACCAAAGAGATTGTATTTTCAAATATTTCAAAGATTATTTTGACACGATCATGTCTCTTTTTCTTCTCAGTGGGAATACTTGTAACAGATTTCCTAAATGAAATCATTTTTTTACTGAATTCATGGTGATTTTAGTGTTTTTTTACTAAAAACTAAAATTTCATTATTTTTTCAATGATCTACACAAAATACTGTGTCAAAGTGGAAGAAAAATTGTAATACTTATATATATATATATATATATATATATATATGCAATTCAAATGCAATTACCAAAGTATTATGTGACAACATGCTAAGAACAGTTTTATTACACAGGCACAAGAACAGTTTAATGTTAAGTGTTACTGAGAATGCTATATATATGTGTGTCCAAACCTTTGACTGGTAGTGTGTATATATATATATATATATATATATATATATACTACCAGTCAAAGGTTTGGACACACCTACTCATTCAAGGGTTTTTCTTAATTTTTACTATTTTCTACATTGTTGAATAATAGTGAAGACATCAAAAGTATAAAATAACATATGGAATCATGTAGTAACCAAAAAAGTGTTAAACAAATCAAAATATATTTTTATATTTCAGATTCAAATATTCAAAAACATACATCCTGTTTGCAACCAGACACTAAAGTAGTACTGCAAAATATGTAGCAAAGCAATTAACTTTTTGTCCTGAATGCAAAGTGTTATGTTTGGGGCAAATCCAATACAACACATTACTGAGTACCACTCCATATTTTCAAGCATAGTGGTGGCTGCATGATGTTATGGGTATGCTTGTAATCGTTAAGGACTGGGGACAGACCCGGCACCAGACGAATCAGTTGGACATGCCTTTGATTTCCATAGGGGGGCACGTTTTTTCACGGGACCTCCTATGTGTGCACGTGCTAGCACATTCTAAAAAAAATTATGGCTGTAATAGTAGCTTAAAGACCATAGGCAGTCTTGTGAGTTTCAAGTTTGGTGAAGCTTATAATTTATCCTACCATTTCTACCGATCTGCGTGCCAGTTATGATTATTTTTATATGCGCATTTTCGTGGAATATTTTGATTTCAATAATAGCGCTTTTGTTTCTCAAAATCATTGTCACATGGTGAATCGTAAAAATCTGAAGTAAAATATTAATCTAAAAGTTCAAATTCAACTATGGCGAGAGCACTAGCCCATGGACACATTGATCCACTGGCAGCTAAAGAAATTAGAGCATAGAACTCAGATGCTGCAGTAGGCCTATATCTTCCATTGTCAACTATGTAAAATACATAGGCCAAAAGCCGACAAATTCAAACTGTCGAAAATATCCTGATAAATTATTTCAATCACATTCATTTCTCTGCTCCGCCTGTCTATCTGTCTGACTTGAGGTATTGCTATTGAAGTGCAACATTGTATCAAATCATCACTTGGGCTGGCCTGAAGCTGTTGCTAGCGAACTTGCAACATTGTATCAACTAGCCTATTCCGGGCCCTCAGAGATTCCTGCACCAGTGAGCTCAGGACAGAAAATAAGTTTCCACTGTATATATGGGATCATCAGATCATGATATTTTGCTCTTTCACACCGAGGCATGGTGATTATTGAGGCCGGGAGTGTTGAACACATTTTTTTTTTTTTTACTGACTTCGTTAAATGTTTTATTTTTCGTTGACTTTTGTGAGGCGAAGAAAAAATAAGTGGTGTACGTGGTGAGTTAAGACAATCAGACATTGCCAAATGGACGCACCATATCTTTGCTACACTCCCCTTCTTCTTGATGCAACATTTTAAATAAGACACATTATCTTCACACATATTTTAGACGCTTTTCACTTGACAGCCGCATCGCAATCAGCTAGACCTATTGCCATGCTCACTACCCAAATCGCTTCCCAAACACACTTGTGATTTTTTTTCTCCCTTTTTCTCCCCAATTGGTAGTTACAGTCTTGTCCCATCGCTGCAACTCCCGTACAGACTCGGGAGAGGCGGAGGTCGAGAGCCATGCGTCCTCCAAACCACGACCCTGCCAATCCGCACTGCTTCTTGACACATTGCTCGCTTAACCCGGAAGCCAGCCGCATCAATGTGTTGGAGGAAACACCGTACAACTGGCGACCGAAGTCAGTTGCCCGACCCGCCACAAGGAGTCGCTAGTCCTCTGTCCAGTGTCTGTGTTCTTTTGCCCATCTTAATCTTTTATTTTTATTGGCCAGTCTGAGATATTGCTTTTTCTTTGCAACTCTGCCTAGAAGGTCAGCATCCAGGATTCGCCTCTTCACTGTTGACGTTGAGACTGATGTTTTGCGGGCACTATTTAATGAAGCTGCCAGTTGAGGACCTGTGAGGCGTCTGTTTCTCAAACTAGACACTCTAATGTATTTGTCCTCTTGCTCAGTTGTGCACCGGGGCCTCCCACTCCTCTTTCTATTCTGGTTAGAGACAGTTTGCGCTGTTCTGTGCAGGGAGTAGTACACAGCGTTGTACGAGATCTTCAGTTTCTTGGCAATTTCTCACATGGAATAGCCTTCATTTCTCAGAACAAGTATAGACTGACGAGTTTCAGAAGAAAGTTCTTTGTTTCTGGCCATTTTGAGCCTGTTATCGAACCCACAATTGCTGATGCTCCAGATACTCAACTAGTCTCTAGAAGGCCAGTTTTATTGCTTCTTTAATCAGCACAACAGTTTTCAGCTGTGCTAACATAATTGCAAAATGGTTTTCTAATGATCAATTAGCCTTTTAAAATGATAAACTTGGATTAGCAAACACAACGTGCCATTGGAACACAGGACTGATGGTTGCTTATAACGGGCCTCTGTACGCCTATGTAGATATTCCATTACAAATCAGCCATTTCCAGCTACAATAGCCATTTACAACATTAGCAATATCTACACTGTATTTCTGATCAATTTGATGTTATTTTAATGGACAAAAAAAAACAAGGACATTTCTAAGTGACCCCAAACTTTTGAACGGTAGTGTATGTAAATGAGATATTTCTATATTTTATTTTCAATACATTTGCTACAAAGTGAAAACATGTTTTTTGAATTTGTCATTATGGGGGTATTGTGTGTAGATGGGTGAGATAAACATATATTTAATCAATTTTGAATTCAGTCTGTAACACAACAAAATGTGGAATAAGTCAAGGGGTATGAATTCTTTCTGAAGCCACTGTATGTATTGAACCCGCTGAGCCAATACATGTTAGAAGCCCCTTTGGCAGCGATCACAGCTGTGAGTCTTTCTGGGTAAGTCTCTAAGAGCTTTGCACAACTGGATTGTACAATATTTTGCCCATTTATTATTTTTTTAAACTCTTCAAGCTCTGTCAAATTGGTTGTTTGATCATTGCTAGACCGCCATTTTCAACTGTTGCCATAGATATTCAAGCCGATTTAAGTCGAAACTCTAACTTGGCCACTCAGGAACATTCAATGACGTTTTGGTAAGCAACTCCAGTGTATATTTGGCCTTGAGTTTTAGGTTATTGTCCTGCTGGAAGGTGAATTTGTCTCCCAGTGTCTGTTGGAAAGCAGACTGATCCAGGTTTTTCTCAGCCTGTGCTTAGCTCTATTCTATTTATTTTTATCCAGAAAAACTTCCTAGTCCTTGCCAACGATGAGCATATCAATAACATGATGCAGCCACCACCATGCTTGAAAATATGAAGAGTGAATATGTGCTTGAAATTCACTACTCGACTGAGGGACCTTACAGATAATTATGTGTGGGGTACAGAGATGGGGTAATCATTCAGAAATCATGTTAATCACTAACTATTATTGCACACAGAGTCCATGCAATGTATTATGTGACTTGTTAATCCTGCTTTTTACATGTGGGAATCTCAATACATGTGACTGGAAAACAGAGCTATTAGCTAATGCATACCATGAGTGAATTCTGAAAAAACTACGTTTTTTTTGGTGCCTTTTCATTCCTTTCACAATTGTGGAGTTGATCTGCCTTGTTGTTTCAGCCCACATGTTGGCCAACGTTACCATGTCGACCTAATTTAGAGCATAGCAGTTCTGTCTCCCATCACTCTAACCTTCCATTAGTTACATCTGTCAGGTGGTCCCCCTAATCACTCCCCCTCCTATCTGGCCCAGCTGAACTGTGGCAGGGGAGGTTAGAACGGCTGGTCCATGGGTGTGCTCTCCGAGTCCCTGGAAACATCGCCTCACATTTGTCAGTGATGAGCTGCATTAGCCCCGGCTCTGACCGGATGTCATATGTTTATTTCTTTCTTCTTCCCTCTGTTTTCTCAAAGCATTCTGTTGTCAGCTGGTTCGTTTTTCATCCCTGAGTGCTTTTGCGTGTCTCCTTTTGTGTTGTCATAATCCGTTGAAGCTGCTTCTCGAATCAGGATAGCTCTTGAGAACCCTTTTTACTCATCAGTCAATTTAATGACTGTCTTTATACACTGCAGTTGCCGCCCGCTCTGCCGCTCCTTCTGACAGTTGAGAGGAGAAAGTTGAGTAGAGCCCAGCTGTTTCCTGGCACTCTGACTGCTCTGCTCTGTGACTGGCAGGTCTGCTGATGGTGATGGGAGTGAAATGAGGCCTGACAGGAAATGGCTGATTGTTCTGTAGACTGTACAGCCTACAGTCTACAGAACTCTAGACTTTAGGGGCAACAGGAGCCCTCACAACCTGGTCCCAGAACAGGCTCAGTCTGATCAGAGGATTTAGCCTAGGCCCTTGCTGGACATCTAGGCTAAATCAGAGGTCTATTAAGACAAGGCTTACCACTACCTATCCTAACTCCACCACTGTAATACTCAAAACACTGTATAAGACCAGGAGCCATGCCTCATGCAGAATATCCATCTGTGATAGAGGTCGTAGTCCACATTGGTTGTCCACCAGTGTAATTCAGTGTGTTTTATTAACATGATTCTTGATGTAAGTCTAATGTGTCGTGTGTTTCCTGTGTCTTGCAGCACTAACGTGGTGATGAACTACTCTGAGATCGAGTCCAAGGTGCGAGAGGCCACCAACGATGACCCCTGGGGTCCCTCTGGACAGCTCATGGGAGAGGTTGCCAAGTACGTGACAACCACAGCACAACGCTCAGTCCTATCACATTTACATAACTAGCCTAGTAGTTGTGGCTTTACCACTACTCTTTAATCCCATCCATGTTTCTGACGTGCCTCTCAGATCCACGTTCATGTACGAGCAGTTCCCCGAGGTCATGAACATGCTGTGGACCAGAATGCTGAAGGACAACAAGAAGAACTGGAGAAGAGTTTACAAGGTGCTGAGAGTCTCCGTTCCACTGCTCCTGTTTCATTCATTTGATCATGTTGACTGTGGTGAGGAAGCCTAGTGCCATGTTGATTGTGGTGAGGAAGCCTAGTGCCATGTTGACTGTGGTGAGGAAGCCTAGTGCCATGTTGACTGTGGTGAGGAAGCCTAGTGCCATGTTGACTGTGGTGAGGAAGCCTAGTGCCATGTTGACTGTGGTGAGGAAGCCTAGTGCCATGTTGACTGTGGTGAGGAAGCCTAGTGCCATGTTGACTGTGGTGAGGAAGCCTAGTGCCATGTTGACTGTGGTGAGGAAGCCTAGTGCCATGTTGACTGTGGTGAGGAAGCCTAGTGCCATGTTGACTGTGGTGAGGAAGCCTAGTGCCATGTTGACTGTGGTGAGGAAGCCTAGTGCCATGTTGACTGTGGTGAGGAAGCCTAGTGCCATGTTGACTGTGGTGAGGAAGCCTAGTGCCATGTTGACTGTGGTGAGGAAGCCTAGTGCCATGTTGACTGTGGTGAGGAAGCCTAGTGCCATGTTGACTGTGGTGAGGAAGCCTAGTGCCATGTTGTCTCTAACTGTGTTGCTCGTCTCCTCCAGGCCTTGCTACTGCTGGCATACCTCATCAGGAACGGATCGGAGCGAGTCGTCACCAGCGCGAGGGAACACATCTACGACCTTCGCTCCTTGGAAAACTACCATTTTGTTGGTAAGCAATCATTTGGGGCTGGCGCTGCACAGCAGCACTGAAAGACCAAGAGAAGTGTGAAGGGTATTGATTAATTCCATAACCATCCCCATGCCGCTCCTCTAAACCAATCAGGATGTCCTCAGTGGTGAGGCTCTTGGTTTCAGATGGAACACCCAGGAGTATTCATTAGTGAGGAAGTTTCCATGGCCATAGCTGGAGTACTGAAGAGTCAGTCAGATGCAAGTCCATCACATTGTGGTTTTAAACCTGGTATATATGCACATATGTAATGTGGACAAATGAAGAGTATGTAAATCATCAAGTTGAGTGGCTCCTTGGATACCAACTGTATGCATTTGTGATTTGCTATGACAGAGGTGAAATGCTTGGATGGTTTTTGTACATGTTTTGTGTGCTAGGCCGAGCCTGCAGAGCTCGCCGTCTGTTTTCAGTGGTACAACAACACATGCTTTGGAGGGTAATGGCATCATAAGAATGTGAGAAACTCTGAAAATGTATGTTCCAAAAATGGATGGCTTGGTTCCTCTTAATTTTTTGGTGGTTTTGAAAAAGCTGAGGAATGAGATCGCATCACCATCACTTTTAATATGCTCAGCTGTTTTGGAGGCACATGTTGCTTCAACCATTTTGGTTTCAGTTAATGTTGCAGTTAGAAGTTCTACATGTTTATGAATGTCAGAGCTGATCTACAAACAGCAGTTTCGTTTCCAACTTCATTTCACTCGACACAAATTAAACTTGGAGCCAAGTCACTGACCCTCAAAGAGTCCTTCTTGTTATGGACGGAGTTCCAGTGACTGAATGATTCAAAGTACATCATTTGGTTAGACCAGTTACCTAGTAATGTCTGTTAGGGGTCTAGGTTTATCTACAGGCCAAACAAGCCTGACTAGAGAGACACACTAACCTCTGTTAAAGGTCAGATACAGTTTAGGTACATTGAAACCTAACTCTTATTACATTCATCAAGGTAACTGTCTCTTTAGGATAGGTAGACGGAAATGTGGATTCTCTCTCTTTAGAAGTACAGTTTATATATCCTGTGGGGCTCAGTTGGTAGAGCATGGCGCTTACAACGCCAGGGTTGTGGGTTCGATTTCCACAGGGGACCAGTTAAAGAAAAAAAATGCATGCACTCACTACTGTAAGTCGCTCTGGATAAGAGCGTCTGCAAAAACAAAAAGAGAGACATTCACAACTCTGCTAAAGTTGCCTCTGTGTTTCAAGCATTGGATATTGTGTTTTATAGTACACATAATCCAATACCATTTCAAATGTTACATGCAAATACATTTAGGATGATGGCATTTATTAAATATTTGAGTAAGGGGCTAACAGATTTACTGTAGGGCTATTTTGAGTTATGCTAATCTTTTTTCATGCTTCGCTCTCAAGAATGAGCATTTGGTGCATGGCATGAGCACTCACTAGGCTCCGTTACATAAAGTCCCCGCTGAGACAAATACTGTCTCCAGGACAGGCCTGTTGTGGCAGGAAAACAATGGAGCCTGTGTTCCCCCTCCTGAAGGAGGTCTATAAAGGCCTGGTCCCAAGCTACCAGACCCTCATCCAAAGCTGCTTTGGCCTGGAGCTGCAGTGCACTGTTCTGTTCTGTTCTCCCTCTCTCAGCCAAAACAAACGTTACTTTATTTGCTTCAGTGTTGACTTCCTCTTTAACCGCTTACACTATCAACCCTGTCACTGGAGAATAAGAGCTCGAGTTTATGGATGTTGTTGATTCTATTGTCAGTTTTCAATTAAAATGAACACAACCTAGTGTAATGTGGGAAGCCAAAAGTGAAATGATTTCCATACTTTAATTAGGTGAATGCCAGTGTATTAAAGTGTCCTATCCTGTTGTGTGTTCCCCCTCCCCTCGCCAGATGAGAATGGGAAGGACCAGGGCATCAACGTGCGTCAGAAGGTGAAGGAGATGGTGGAGTTTGTCCAGGATGACGACCGGCTCCGGGAGGAGAGGAAGAAGGCTAAGAAAAACAAGGACAAGTACATCGGTGTGTCCTCAGACTGCACTGGAGGAGGATTCAACAAGACCAGCCGTAAGTGGCACCACACAGGAGGGAGGGGAGATTATCTGTGACGCTCTGTTAAAGCTGTGGAAGAGAATGTGGTCTCTCATTTCCATACTCTTACAAATCACAAAGCAAATATATTTGATGCTGTTATGAAGTTCATAAGGGATGTTCCCCTGTCAGCAGGTTTCATGTTAAATCCAGGTGTTTCAGACACAAGGCACATCGGGGCATATTCCATGTTAGCAGACAAACAAAAACACACAAGCAGATTAATGTACCTCTAGTCCCTGTCACTGTATTTTACCTCTAGTCCCTGGTTCTGTAATTTACCTCTAGTCACTGTTACTGTAATTTACCTCTAGTCCCTGTTTCTGTAATTTACCTCTAGTCCCTGGTTCTGTAATTTACCTCTAGTCCCTGTCACTGTAATTTACCTCTAGTCACTGTTTCTGTACTTTACCTCTAGTCCCTGTCACTGTAATTTACCTCTAGTCCCTGTCACTGTAATTTACCTCTAGTCCCTGTCACTGTAATTTACCTCTAGTCCCTGTCACTGTATTTTACCTCTAGTCCCTGTCACTGTAATTTACACCTAGTCCCTGTTTCTGTAATTTACCTCTAGTCCCTGTTTCTGTAATTTACCTCTAGTCCCTGTCACTGTAATTTACCTCTAGTCCCTGTCACTGTAATTTACCTCTAGTCCCTGTCACTGTAATTTACCTCTAGTCACTGTAATTTACCTCTAGTCCCTGTCACTGTATTTTACCTCTAGTCCCTGTTTCTGTAATTTACCTCTAGTCCCTGTCACTGTAATTTACCTCTAGTCCCTGTCACTGTAATTTACCTCTAGTCCCTGTTTCTGTAATTTACCTCTAGTCCCTGTTTCTGTAATTTACCTCTAGTCCCTGTCACTGTAATTTACCTCTAGTCCCTGTCACTGTAATTTATCTCTAGTCCCTGTCACTGTAATTTACCTCTAGTCCCTGTTTCTGTAATTTACCTCTAGTCCCTGTTTCTGTATTTTACCTCTAGTCCCTGTCACTGTATTTTACCTCTAGTCCCTGTCACTGTAATTTACCTCTAGTCACTGTAATTTACCTCTAGTCCCTGTTTCTGTAATTTACCTCTAGTCCCTGTCACTGTAATTTACCTCTAGTCCCTGTCACTGTAATTTACCTCTAGTCCCTGTCACTGTAATTTACCTCTAGTCACTGTAATTTACCTCTAGTCCCTGTCACTGTATTTTACCTCTAGTCACTGTTTCTGTAATTTACCTCTAGTCCCTGTCACTGTAATTTACCTCTAGTCCCTGTCACTGTAATTTACCTCTAGTCACTGTCACTGTAATTTACCTCTAGTCCCTGTTTCTGTAATTTACCTCTAGTCCCTGTTTCTGTAATTTACCTCTAGTCCCTGTTTCTGTAATTTACCTCTAGTCCCTATCACTGTAATTTATCTCTAGTCCCTGTTTCTGTAATTTACCTCTAGTCCCTGACACTGTAATTTACCTCTAGTCCCTGTTTCTGTAATTTACCTCTAGTCCCTATCACTGTATTTTACCTCTAGTCACTGTTTCTGTAATTTACCTCTAGTCCCTGTCACTGTAATTTACCTCTAGTCCCTGTCACTGTAATTTACCTCTAGTCCCTATCACTGTAATTTACCTCTAGTCCCTGTTTCTGTAATTTACCTCTAGTCCCTGTTTCTGTAATTTACCTCTAGTCCCTGTTTCTGTAATTTACCTCTAGTCCCTATCACTGTAATTTATCTCTAGTCCCTGTTTCTGTAATTTACCTCTAGTCCCTGACACTGTAATTTACCTCTAGTCCCTGTCACTGTAATTTACCTCTAGTCCCTGTTACTGTAATTTACCTCTAGTCCCTGTTACTGTAATTTACCTCTAGTCCCTGTCACTGTAATTTACCTCTAGTCCCTGTTCCTGTAATTTACCTCTAGTCCCTTTTACTGTATTTTACCTCTAGTCCCTGTCACTGTAATTTACCTCTAGTCCCTGTCACTGTAATTTACCTCTAGTCCCAGTTACTGTAATTTACCTCTAGTCCATGTCACTGTAATTTACCTCTAGTCCCTGTTACTGTAATTTACCTCTAGTCCCTGTTACTGTAATTTACCTCTAGTCCCTGTCACTGTAATTTACCTCTAGTCCCTGTCACTGTACTTGACCTCTAGTCCCTGTCACTGTAATATACCTCTAGTCACTGTAATGTACCTCTAGTCCCTGTCACTGTAATTTACCTCTAGTCCCTGTTACTGTAATTTACCTCTAGTCCCTGTCACTGTAATTTACCTCTAGTCCCTGTCACTGTAATTTACCTCTAGTCCCTGTCACTGTAATTTATCTCTAGTCCCTGTTCCTGTAATTTACCTCTAGTCCCTGTCACTGTAATTTACCTCTAGTCCATGTCACTGTAATTTACCTCTAGTCCCTGTTACTGTAATTTACCTCTAGTCCCTGTTACTGTAATTTACCTCTAGTCCCTGTCACTGTAATTTACCTCTAGTCCCTGTCACTGTACTTGACCTCTAGTCCCTGTCACTGTAATATACCTCTAGTCACTGTAATGTACCTCTAGTCCCTGTCACTGTAATTTACCTCTAGTCCCTGTCACTGTAATTTACCTCTAGTCCCTGTTACTGTAATTTACCTCTAGTCCCTGTCACTGTAATTTACCTCTAGTCACTGTACTTGACCTCTAGTCCCTGTCACTGTACTTGACCTCTAGTCCCTGTAACTGTAATTTACCTCTAGTCCCTGTCACTGTAATTTACCTCTAGTCCCTGTCACTGTAATTTACCTCTAGTCCCTGTCACTGTAATTTACCTCTAGTCCCTGTCACTGTGTGTCTCTTTTTGCAGGCCTCTGTTTGTCTGCAGTCTCAGAAGGCTTCCAGAATATCGCTCCTCTATTCCTTCCTCTATTCCCGACAGACCTCTCCCTCCTTCCTCTCACGCTGCCTCCTCCTCCTCATCACTGATCTTTTGATTAGAGTGGTTTTCACTCCGGGGCCAATCATGTCTTCTCACATCTTCATCAGTGAGATTTCGGATCATGTTTGTACAAGAGAGACCTCACCACCCTCACCATGTAACAGAACATATCTTCCCCATATCTGTTTTTGATTCGCTGCTTTCTGATCTGCTATTCCGATATCTAATCAAGGGGGCTGGCGGGTCCCTTGTCATTTCATTAGGATTGGGTTGGAGACAACTGATTGAAAGGCTTTATTTTCATGCGCCATTGATTCCTCCCTTTGATTCCTGATATCTTTGATTTGCTACTATGATTTCCCACTTCATTAGTCAAACCAGAGTTCCCATTTGTCAATTAATGATGTGGCGGGGGGGAGGGGGGATTATTTTTGTCACACAGGATCAAAATAACACTTGAGATGGAGACAGTCATCTGGTGATGCTCTCTCTGTTTCAGCAGACACACTGTAGCAGTGCAGTGTTTGTGTTGGCAATGGGCCCATTCATTTTCAATGCAGAATAACCAATTATCTGTTGCACATCTTAATTGGCATTCCAGATAGATGCAGTGCATTCCCACAACGGCTCTCATTAGGTTAGTGAAGTGAGGCTCACTCAGCATAGCTACAAAACACGTTAATGGTACCAAAACACACTTGATTTTTCAGCATAAACCTGTAAACCCTGTTTCTTCCCTCTCTGCGCCTCTCCTCCCCCTCAGCGGGAGACATGTTTGACTCTGAGCCCAGAGGGAAGTGGGATGAGGACTGGGACAAGAGCAAGGGAGCCTTCCCCTTCAGTGAGAAGCTGGGAGAAATCAGCGACAAGATCGGCAGCACCATCGACGACACCATCAACAAGTTCCGCAAGAATGAGAGGGATGACTGGCCCGACCGAATCAGGTATTCCTGAGTGAATTTAAGTGCAAAAGGCCAAAAGCAAAATGGAGATGTAATGCTTAAGCCAGCGTTTCCCAAACACGATCCTGGGGACCCCAAGGGGTGCACATTTTGGTTTTTGCACTAGCACTACAGAGCTGATTCGAATAATGAACTAATCAAGCTTTGATTATCTGAATCAGCTGCGTAGTGCTCGGGCAAAAAAGCAAAACGTGCACCCTGTGGGGTCCCCGGGACCGTGTTTGGGAAACGCTGGCTTAAGTCAATACCAATCTGTTTAATGATAGAGCATTTCTTTTTGAAAAACACTAATCTTCACACCTTTCATGTGTGTGTTTTGTTGTTCTCTTTCTCCCCAGTGACAGCGAGGAGGACAGGGTATCGCGGAACGGCCGGCCGGTGTCGGGGTCAGGAAAGCTGTCGGGGGTGGAGTTCAAAGACGAGACTGTTACGACCACGAGGATCCAGATCAGCCAGGCAACGGAGACCACCACCACACGCAAGCGGGGCGGCATCCGCTCCAAAACCGTGGACCTAGGGGCCGCTGCACACTACACAGGGGACAGGGCCAGTCTGAACGCAGACAACGTAAAGGTACCACTGACCTCCCTGTATCTCACTCTGACCCCTGACCTCCATGTATCGCACTCTGACCACTTCCCTAGGCTACTACTGCATGTCAATGTAGGCCAATAGGATGTGTAGACTCAACAGCACCTGCTTTTGAAGCCTATAGAGAACACTGTTGAGTTGTCTGCGGAATCTATTTTCATCAGTGAGTTTTTATAGAGACTGGAACACAAGATGGTGATTATTTCCCGTGGGACAGAAGGCAAGCTGTGTTTCATCTCTTCTGACTGTCTAATGACATGATAGAAGTGGATGGCAGCAGGAACAATGAACAGTGGAGCTCCTGGGCTGCCGAATCCAAACTGATTCTAGACTAGTGCTGCTCTCTTGTGGCAGCTTTAGGAAGTGTAGCACCCTGTTTTATTCCAACTCAAATTAAAAGTGAACAGCTTGTGTGAGAGTGTCCTTATCTCATTCTCTGTGTTCTCTTCAGACGTCGGTCAGCCAGTCTTCAAGCAGTGGCCTTGCAGACCTTCTGATGGTGGACGCTGGGTCCAGTCAGACGGCACCAGCAGGTAACACCCATCACTCACTCATCTAATGAGCCAGTCACCCACAGTGCTACACACATATTGAGAAGACGTTGGTATATAAAGTGATAGCACTCTAAAGTAAGGTGGCTCAAAGCCATAGATGTAGCTCCTCCAGAATCACCAAATAAAATAAAATAAAATCAAATTGTATTGGTCACATGCGCCGAATACAACAGGTGCAGACATTACAGTGAAATGCTTACCTACAGCCCTTAACCAACAGTGCATTTATTTTAAACAAAAAAAGTAAAAATAAAACAACAACAAAAAAAAGTGTTGAGAAAAAAAAAAAAGAGCAGAAGTAAAATAAAGTGACAGTAGGGAGGCTATATATACAGGGGGGTACCGTTGCAGAGTCAATGTGCGGGGGCACCGGCTAGTTGAGGTAGTTGAGGTAATATGTACATGTGGGTAGAGTTAAAGTGACTATGCATAAATACTTAACAGAGTAGCAGCAGCGTAAAAAGGATGGGGTGGGGGGGCAGTGCAAATAGTCCGGGTAGCCATGATTAGCTGTTCAGGAGTCTTATGGCTTGGGGGTAGAAGCTGTTGAGAAGTCTTTTGGACCTAGACTTGGCACTCCGGTACCGCTTGCCGTGCGGTAGCAGAGAGAACAGTCTATGACTAGGGTGGCTGGAGTCTTTGACAATTTTGAGGGCCTTCCTCTGACACCGCCTGGTATAGAGGTCCTGGATGGCAGGAAGCTTTGCCCCAGTGATGTACTGGGCCGTACGCACTACCCTCTGTAGTGCCTTGCGGTCGGAGGCCAAGCAGTTGCCATACCAGGCGGTGATGCAACCAGTCAGGATGCTCTCGATGGTGCAGCTGTAGAATTTTTTGAGGATCTGAGGACCCATGCCAAATCTTTTTAGTCTCCTGAGGGGGAATAGGCTTTGTCGTGCCCTCTTCACGACTGTCTTGGTGTGTTTGGACCATGATAGTTCGTTGGTGATGTGGACACCAAGGAACTTGAAGCTCTCAACCTGTTCCACTACAGCCCCGTCGATGAGAATGGGGGCGTGCTCAGTCCTCTTTTTTTTCCTGTAGTCCACAATCATCTCCTTTGTCTTGGTCACGTTGAGGGAGAGGTTGTTGTCCTGGCACCACACGGCCAGATCTCTGACCTCCTCCCTATAGGCTGTCTCATCGTTGTCGGTGATCAGGCCTACCACTGTTGTGTCGTCGGCAAACTTAATGATGGTGTTGGAGTCGTGCCTGGCCATGCAGTCATGGGTGAACAGAGAGTACAGGAGGGGACTGAGCACGCACCCCTGAGGGGCCCCCGTGTTGAGGATCAGTGTGGCAGATGTGTTGTTACCTACCCTTACCACCTGGGGGCGGCCCGTCAGAAAGTCCAGGATCCAGTTGCAGAGGGAGGTGTTTAGTCCCAGGATCCTTAGCTTAGTGATGAGCTTAGAGGGCACTATGGTGTTGAATGCTGAGCTGTAGTCAATGAATAGCATTCTCACGTAGGTGTTCCTCTTGTCCAGGTGGGAAAGGGCAGTGTGGAGTGCAATAGAGATTGCATCATCTGTGGATCTGTTGGGGCGGTATGCAAATTGGAGTGGGTCTAGGGTTTCTGGGATAATGCTGTTGATGTGAGCCATGACCAGCCTTTCAAAGCACTTCATGGCTACAGACGTCAGTGCTACGGGTCGGTAGTCATTTAGGCAGGTTATCTTAGAGTCCTTGGGCACGGGGACTATGGTGGTCTGCTTGAAACATATTGGTATTACAGACTCAGTCAGGGACATGTTGAAAATGTCAGTGAAGACACTTGCCAGTTGGTCAGCACATGCTCGGAGTACACGTCCTGGTAATCCGTCTGGCCCTGCGGCCTTGTGAATGTTGACCTGCTTAAAAGTCTTACTCACATCGGCTACGGAGAGCGTGATCACATAGTCATCCGGAACAGCTGGTGCTCTCATGCATGCTTCAGTGTTGCTTGCCTCGAAGCGAGCATAGAAGTGGTTTAGCTCGTCTGGTAGGCTTGTGTCACTTGCTAGCTCGCGGCTGTGCTTCCCTTTGTAGTCTGTAATAGTTTTCAAGCCCTGCCACATCCGACGAGCGTCAGAGCCAGTGTAGTACGATTCAATCTTAGTCCTGTATTGACTCTTTGCCTGTTTGATGGTTCGTCGGAGGTCATAGCGGGATTTCTTATAAGTGTCCGGGTTAGAGTCCCGTTCCTTGAAAGCGGCAGCTCTACCCTTTAGCTCAGTGCGGATGTTTCCTGTAATCCATGGCTTCTGGTTGGGGTATGTACGTACGGTCACTGTGGGGACGACATCATCGATGCACTTATTGATGAAGCCAGTGACTGATGTGGTGTACTCCTCAATGCTGTCTGAAGAATCCCGGAACATGTTCCAGTCTGTGCTAGCAAAACAGTCCTGTAGCTTAGCATCTGCGTCATCTGACCACTTTTTTATTAACCGAGTCACTGGTGCTTCCTGCTTTAGTTTTTGCTTATAAGCAGGAATCAGGAGGATAGAGTTATGGTCAGATTTGCCAAATGGAGGGCGAGGGAGAGCTTTGTATGCGTCTCTGTGTGTGGAGTTAAGGTGGTCTAGAGGTTTTTTTCCTCCGGTTGCACATTTAACATGCTGGTAGAAATTAGGTAGAACGGATTTAAGTTGCCCTGCATTAAAGTCCCCGGCCACTAGGAGCGCTGCATCTGGATGAGCGTTTTCCTGTTGATTAATGGCCTTGTACAACTCATTCAGTGCAATCTTAATGCCAGCATTGGTTTGTGGTGGTAAATAGACAGCTATGAAAAATATAGATGAAAACTCTCTTGGTAAATAGTGTGGTCTACAGCTTATCATAAGATACTCTACCTCAGGCGAGCAAAACCTTGAGACTTCCTTAGTATTTGATTTTGTGCACCAGCTGTTGTTTACAAATATACACAGACCGCCACCCCTTGTCTTACCGGAGTCAGCCATTCTGTCCTGCCGATGTAGCGTATAGCCTGCTAGCTGAATGTTATCATTGTCGTCGTTCAGCCACGACTCGGTGAAACATAAGATATTACAGTTTTTAATGTCCCGTTGGTAGGATAACCGTAATCTTAAGTCGTCCAATTTATTTTCAAATGATTGAACGTTGGCTAATAGGATTGATGGAAGAGGCAGTTTACTCGCTCGCCGTCGGATCCTTACAAGGCACCCCGATCTACGTCCACAATATCTCCGTCTCTTCCTCACGCGAATGACGGGGATTTGGGCCTTGTCGGGTGTCTGTATGATATCCTTCGCGGCCGCCTCGTTGAAGAAAAAATCTTCGTCCAATACGAGGTGAGTAATCGCTGTCCTGATATCCAGAAGCTCTTTTTGGTTATAAGAGACGATGGCAGAAACATTATGTACAAAATAAATTACAAATAACACGGTAAAACACACATAATAGTACAATTGGTTAGAGGGCTGTAAAACGGCAGCCATCTTCTCCGGCGCTGTTATGTACACCAGGGACGGGAGGGGAGGGAGCAGGCAGGTCTAAGATGCCAAGATGTCAGACCAGTGTGTCAGGCAGCCTGGGGAGAGAACAGTAGAGGGGATGGGAGAAGAGGACAGGAGAGAACAGTAGAGGGGATGGGAGAAGAAGACAGGAGAGAACAGTAGAGGGGATGAGAGAAGAGGACAGGAGAGAACAGTAGAGGGGATGGGAGAAGAGGACAGGAGAGAACAGTAGAGGGGATGAGAGAAGAGGACAGGAGAGAACAGGAGAGGGGATGAGAGAAGAGGACAGGAGAAGGGAGGAGAGAACAGGAGAGGGGATGAGAGAAGAGGACAGGAGAGAACAAGTAAGAGGGGATTGGAAGAAAGAAGACAGGAGAGAGCATTGAGGGGAGAGAGAGAGGACAGGAAGAACATAGAGGGGATGGGAGAAGATGACAGGAGAGAACCGTAAGGGGATGAGAGAAGAGGACAGGAGAGGAACAGAGAGGGGAGGAGAAACATGACATGAAGACAGAGAGGGGAGGAGAGAATCAGGACAGGGAGGAACAGGAGAGGGGAGAAGAGAACAGACAGGAGAGACAGAGAGGTGAGACGAGAAGAGGACCAGAGAGAACAGTATAAGGGATGGGGAAGAGGGCAGGAGAGAACGAGTATATTTGATAAATAATAGACATGATAGAATATTGAACAGAGAGGAGAGAAGAGGACAGGATAGAAGAGAGAGGAGGAACAGGGGAGGAGAGTATAGAATAGGACAGGAGAGACCAGGAGAGGGGGATGACAGTTTTAGAGGGGAGGAGAGAAATGAACAGAGAGGAGAGTGGGAGGAAGAGCTAACAGGAGATGAAACGGTTATAGATACAGGAGATCCGGATTCTGATGCTCATTGGAAGGGACCTCTCTTCCTCCTCCCGTCGCCTTCCCCCTGCTCTCCCCTGCTCTTTCTGAGGTCTCTTTCTCCTCCCCTTAGCTTCCAACATCCCTTCGCTCCCGAGAGGGAGATTGAACCCTCCAGAGGGGCTTAGGATTACCCAGGCGAGGGAGGAGAGGGAGATCTAGGGACTCTGGACTTCGAATGGGGTAGAAGAGGAGAGGACAGGGGAGGAGAGGGGAGAAGTGGACAGGGGAGGAGAGAAGAGTAAGAGAGAGGAGAGGAAGAGCATGCCATGGCCAGCTGTCTGAGGCTGAGCCAGTGTTTGCTGGGATGGGAATGCTGCATGTGCACACAGAGCTGCTGCGGTCCCTCGTCATCATGTCGTTGCCTTCTCACGCTCAGACGACATCCTCATCTCCTCCGCTGGCACTCTGTTCGCACTCTCTTTCTCTGTGTGTGTGTGTGTGTGTGTGTGTGTGTGTGCACGCGCCATCCAGGTGGAAGTTCAGACCTCATCTGTGGTTTTGCTGACTTCTCCTCCCCAGCTGCCTCAGCCAGTCTCCCTTCATCAGCCGGTACGTCTCACTGCTTCACCTCTCCATTGTCGGAACAGTATCTGCTGTCTGTATTACAGCTTTAATCTTAGGCAGGCCACTCCCACTTCCCAATAAATCCAGCAGAAAGCCTTGGTTTTCATAAACCTTGTAGCAGCTTGTGAGGGGAAAATGTGTAAGTCTCTCTGGATAAGAGCGTCTGCTAAATGATGTAAATGTAAATGAAAACCGAAGAGGTGAATACCTTAGTACAGAGCACCCTGCCCCCCTCCTGCCCCATCCTGCCCCCCTCCCGTCTCTCTCCGTGCCATCTCCTGCCCAGGGGTTTGTGGTTGCGGCCCACATGATGTCCTGTCCTGTGGAAGTGAAGGTGGTGTAATATTGATGTGCCTGGGATGAGTCCAGATGGAGGTCCTACCTGCTGAGCCTCATAACGACAGACACATGTCAGCTCTCATTTGACACAGCTCATCTCCCCCAGCCTTCACACTCTGCTCCGTGCTGGATGGATGGATGGATGGATGGGTGGGTGGGTGGGTGGATGGATGGGAGGGTGGGTGGGTGGATGGATGGATGGATGGATGGATGGATGGATGGATGGATGGATGGATGGATGGATGGATGGGAGAAAAGAGAGAGATATGGAGGGAAGATGAGAAGGCCCCAGCAACAAGTCTTTGGCAGTTTATCTGCTATTGTCAGAGTCCTCTTTGGATTTGTGTGTGTACACGTGCGCATGTGTTCTCATGCAGTACCCTCTGGTTCTGTTGTGTGTTGTCCTGTGCAGTGGCCTCTGGTCCTGGTGTGTTGTCCTGTGCAGTAGCCTCTGGTTCTGGTGTGTGGTCCTGTGCAGTAGCCTCTGGTTCTGGTGTGTGATCCTGTGAGTAGCCTCTGGTTCTGGTGTGTTGTCCTGTGCAGTAGCCTCTGGTTCTGGTGTGTGGTCCTGTGCAGTAGCCTCTGGTTCTGGTGTGTGGTCCTGTGCAGTAGCCTCTGGTTCTGGTGTGTGGTCCTGTGCAGTAGCCTCTGGTTCTGGTGTGTTGTCCTGTGCAGTAGCCTCTGGTTCTGGTGTGTGGTCCTGTGCAGTAGCCTCTGGTTCTGGTGTGTGGTCCTGTGCAATAGCCTCTGGTCCTGGTGTGTGGTCCTGTGCAGTAGCCTCTGGTTCTGGTGTGTTGTCCTGTGCAGTAGCCTCTGGTTCTGGTGTGTGGTCCTGTGCAGTAGCCTCTGGTTCTGGTGTGTGGTCCTGTGCAGTAGCCTCTGGTCCTGGTGTGTGGTCCTGTGCAGTAGCCTCTAGTCCTGGTGTGTGGTCCTGTGCAGTAGCCTCTGGTTCTGGTGTGTGGTGCTGTGCAGTAGCCTCTGGTCCTGGTGTGTGGTCCTGTGCAGTAGCCTCTGGTTCTGGTGTGTGGTCCTGTGCAGTAGCCTCTAGTCCTGGTGTGTGGTCCTGTGCAGTAGCCTCTGGTTCTGGTGTGTGGTCCTGTGCAGTAGCCTCTGGTTCTGGTGTGTGGTCCTGTGCAGTAGCCTCTGGTCCTGGTGTGTGGTCCTGTGCAGTAGCCTCTGGTTCTGGTGTGTTGTCCTGTGCAGTAGCCTCTAGTCCTGGTGTGTGGTCCTGTGCAGTAGCCTCTGGTCCTGGTGTGTGGTCCTGTGCAGTAGCCTCTGGTTCTGGTGTTAGCACACGCTCTGGGCTATGTGTGCTGGTACTCCCCTTGGGGCGATCTCTGTTACCTTCACTGTTCACCTGCCTGCCTGACAGGGTGCAAAAACTCCCCCTTAGAGAAGAAATGTGACATGCCTCATGCCTTATTTTACATTTGAGTCATTTAGCAGACACTCTTATCCAGAGCGACTTACAGTTAGTGAGTGCATACATTTTTTTCATACTGGCCCCCCGTGGGAAACGAACCCACAACCCTGGCGTTGCAAGCGCCATGCTCTACCAACTGAGCTACAGGGGTCTCTTCAAGTCCTTGGAAATGCTGAACACTGTGGATAATAACATCTTCACTTATTTGGATTAGATTTTAAGAAAAGCACAGCAACACATTCATTTTTTCAAACTGTTAAAATGAAATTGAAACACAATTAGTTTCAACCTGTTTATATTGTTGATGTTGATGGGTGTCTATAGAGATTCATAGCTATCATAGTTATGAATCTGATGTAGTCTTTCATTTCTAAATGACCCTTTCTTCTCTCCCTAGGGCCAGGGTCCAGTGGGGACTGGAATGCGTTCTCCAGTCCGCTGGCCACCACTCCTCCATCTCAGCCAATCACAGACCTGTTTGGTAGCATCCAGCCTCCCCCGGCCTCGGCCCCCGCCCCCACCCCACCCTCAGCTGACTTATTTGACCTGATGGGCTCCAATCACACATCCCTCAGCGCCTCCCAAAGCATGACCTTCTCCATGTGTGGTACCCAGAGTGTGGGTGTCGCCAACACTGGCCTGCCCATCTCCAGATCACAGGTACGGGTGGCTCACAGGCCCCCACCTCACTACATGAGATATTGTTATAGCTGGAAGTGCCTCATTATCATGGAAGAGGTCTACGTTGTGAATACAAAGGATGTGGACACCCCTTCAAATTGGTGGATTCGGCTATTTCAGCCACACCCGTTGCTGACAAATCGAGCACACAGCCATGCAATCTCCATAGACAAACACTTGCAGTGGAATGGCCCGTACTGAAGAGCTCATTGACTTTCAACGTGGCACCGTCATAAGATGCCACCTTTCCAACAAGTCAGTTCGTCAAATTTCTGACCTGCTAGAGCGGCCCCGGTCAACTGTAAGTGCTGTTATTGTTAAGTGGAAACGTCTAGGAGCAACAACGGCTCAGCCACGAAGTGGTAGGCCACACAAGCTCACAGAACGGGACTGCCGTGTGCTGAAGCGCGTAAAAATTGTCTGTCCTTCGTTGCAACACTCACTACTGAGTTTCAAACTGCCTCTGGAAGGAACGTCAGCACATGAACTGTTCGTCGGGTGCTTCATGAAATGGGTTTCCATGGCCGACCAGCTGCACACAAGCCTAAGATCACCATGCGCAATGCCAAGCGTCGGCTGTAGTGGTGTAAAGCTTGCCGCCATTGGATTCTGGAGCAGTGGAAACGCGTTCTCTGGACTGATGAATCACGCTTCACCATCTGGCAGTCCGACGGACAAATCTTGGTTTGGCGGATGCCAGGAGAACGCTACCTGCCCCAATGCATAGTTCCAACTGTAAAGTTTGGTGGAGGAGGAATAATGGTCTGGGGCTGTTTTTCATGGTTCAGGCTAGTTCCAGTGAAGGGAAATCTTAACGCTACAGCATACAATGACATTCTAGATGATTCTGTGCTTCCAACTTTGTGGCAACAGTTTGCGGAAGGCCCTTTCCTGTTTCAGCACGACAATGCCCCGTGCACAAAGTGAGGTCCATACAGAAATGGTTTGTCGAGATCGGTGTGGAAGAACTTGACTGGCCTGCACAAAGCCCTGACCTCAACCCCTTCGAACACCTTTGGATTAATTGGAAAGCCGACTGCGAGCCAGGTCTAATCGCCCAACATCAGTGCCGACATCACTAATGCTCTTGTGGCTGAAAGGAAGCAAGTCCCCACAGCAATGTTCCAACATCTAGCGGAAAGCCTTCCCAGAAGAGTGGAGGCTGTTATAGCAGCAAAGGGGGGACCAACTCCATATTAATGCCCATGATGTTGGATGAGCAGGTGTCCACATACTTTTGGCCATGTGGTGTTGTGTGATTGTAGGATAGATGATTGTGATAACCTGGCCTGTGTTTTTGTGTTGTCTCTTCTTTGGGTTTTTGTAGAACTTTGGGCCAGTGCAGGGGGGCTTATTGCCCCAGCACATAGGGCTCCAGAAGCCCTGCCTCCCCCCCACATGGTCGGACCCCAGCGTCAACATCAGCCTGGACTTCCTGTCTCCTGGCATGCCGACGACCAACTGCAAGCCCAGCCTCAACAACATGTTACAGCAAGGTCTGTTATCAACTCACTGTCCTCACTTATTTCTCTGTGTTGGCCGTCAACTCACTTGTAATGTGAATTTCATTGTGTCAGTGCAAGGAGATCTAACTGACAGTAACATCAACATATTTGTCATTTCAGATCCCCTGCTTTCAGGAGTCCAGCCGTCCATCAACCTGGCTCAGAGTTTTGGAGGCCTGAATCTGAACGTCCAGCCCACAGCCACACCCATCAGACTTTCCACCAACCCCATGATGCCCACCAGCGCCATGGGCCTGGGCATGCCTCCCACCATGGCAACGGGTACCATGGGGATGGGCGCCATGGGAATGGGAGGAGTGCCTGTCAATCAGGGAATTATGGGAATGAACATGGGCGTGGCCCCCGCAGGCATGGGCCTGCAAGGCACCCTGGGTATGCCAGGGATGTGCATAGGGCAGCCCATGGTCAACCCTGCCATGGTGCAACCCAAACAAGATGCCTTCGCAAACTTCGGCAACTTCGGGAAATGAGAGAGCTGAAGGATTTGTGTGGAAGAGTATCGTTCAGAATACACCATTATGAAGGAAAAGCTGCATACATGGACTACTTGAAAAATATCTAATGGTGTTACCCTTCAATCCGTATATACACTGAGTGTACAAAACATTAAGAACACCTTCCTAAAATTGAGTTGCACTCCCTTTTGCCCTCAGAACAGCCTCAATTTGTCAGGGCATGGACTCTACAAGGTGTCGATAGCGTTCCACAGGGGATGTTGGCCCATGTTGACTCCAACGCTTCCCACAGTTGTGTCAAGTTGGCTGGATGTCCTTTGGATGTTGAACCATTCTTGATACACACAGGAAACTGTTGAGCGTGAAAAACCCAGCAGCGTTGCAGTTCTTCACACAAACCGGTGCGCCTGGCACCTACTACCATACCCTGTTCAAAGGCACTTAAATCTTTTGTCTTTCCCATTCACCCTCTGAATGGCACGCATACACAATACATGTCTCAAGGCTTAAAAATCCTTCTTTAACCTGTCTCCTCCCCTTCATCTACACTGATTGAAGTGGATTTAACAAGTGACATCAATAAAGGATCATAGCTTTCACCTGGATTCACCTGGTCAGTCTATGTGATAGAAAGAGCAGGTGTCCTTGATGTTTTGTACACTCAGTGTATATATATAAAAAATCTATCAAGAGTTTGAATTAGTTTTTGGGCGGGAATGGTTTATCTAACATGACATTTTGTAAATGGTTGAAAGCATCTACATTATACTTTCTACCAACACCAGATAAATACTTTAGAAAACATGTTAAGTGTTTTACTTTGTCCCTTTTCTACTTTCATGTTGTCATGTCTGTGATTCAGACATGTCAGAAGAAAGTTCTGGAATTACCTCACATTGACCATACTTCATGCCGAGACTCAGAACGGTAGTGGCGAAATATGTAAATATATTTTTGGTGTGCAAAAACGAAAAGTATTATTGCGCTATTAAAGATGTCTTGGAAAGTATGACGTGGAGGGCTTAAAGTACAAAGAAGTACCCCAAGTTAATAAATTCCTATTTTACATGTTTTGTGTTGATGTCATGTTACATTTATATCTCTGTTACTGGTGTATGTTTAAACTGCACTTTCATTTCCCTCGGTTCTATTGCCTGTTCCACAATCTTAGTGGGTTAACCATCAGAATCAAGTTAATATTATGAGTTAACAACACAGCTGGTGGCCACAATAATAATAATAATATAATATGCCATTTAGCAGACGCTTTTATCCAAAGCGACTTACAGTCATGCGTGCATACATTTTTGTGTATGGGTGGTCCCGGGGATCGAACCCACTACCTTGGCGTTACAAGCGCCGTGCTCTACCAGTTGAGCTACAGAGGACCAGCAGCTTCTGTACTGGGTCCCAAATGGCACAGTATTCCCTATAGACACTACTGCACTAGAAAGGTAACAGGGTGCCATTTGCTTTTCCATCCCAATGGGATCATGTAGAGTGTTCCAGTGTTGCCCAGACAGAGGCTGTCCTCTCCTTCTATAGGGTGCCTCAGTGAAGCCCATGCCTTGTCTCTGATGAGGGGTGTGGTCACAAAGGCTGACACAAGAATCAATCAGTATTTGATCGAGATCCTTGATCATTCTAGTCCTTTATAAGTCGGTATAGTCATAGATATTAAGCCCATGTATTTTAAGTATATTCATGGGTATTAAGCCCATGTATGCCACAGCTTGATATAGGTATGAGGCGTGTTGTGAGGTCATTGTGGGGATGTGTGACTGTGTGGCCAGCAGGAGTGGTCTGGCAGGCCGGGTGGTGATGGGGAAACTGGGGCTTATTGGGACTGTGAAGGGAGGAGACTATTGACTGTGATGATGAGTGAGACTGTCTGCGTCCCTGCCTAGCACTTCAACGGGGGAGAGAAAGCGATTGGGCCTTGGCTGAGTCCCTCTGACCTGCCCAGTGGTACCCCTCATCACGCTCTCCACTGTGAAGGCTCATCCAACGGGCGTTTCTGTCTCGCGTCTCTCCACTGTGAAGGCTCGTCCAACGGGTGATTCTGTCTCGTGTCTCTCTCCACTGTGAAGGCTCATCCAACGGGTGTTTCTGTCTCGTCTCTCTCCACTGTGAAGGCTCATCCAACGGGCGTTTCTGTCTCGTGTCTCTCCACTGTGAAGGCTCATCCAACGGGCGTTTCTGTCTCGTGTCTCTCCACTGTGAAGGCTCATCCAACGGGTGATTCTGTCTCGTGTCTCTCTCCACTGTGAAGGCTCATCCAACGGGTGTTTCTGTCTCGTCTCTCTCCACTGTGAAGGCTCATCCAACGGGCGTTTCTGTCTCGTCTCTCTCCACTGTGAAGGCTCATCCAACGGGCGTTTCTGTCTCGCGTCTCTCCACTGTGAAGGCTCATCCAACGGGTGTTTCTGTCTCGTCTCTCTCCACTGTGAAGGCTCATCCAACGGGCGTTTCTGTCTCGCGTCTCTCTCCAAATGTGAAGGTTGTTTCAAAGAGTGCTTGTGTCTTGCTTCAAACTTGTTTGTGAGCGTATTTGTGAGCGTGTTTGTGAGCGTGTGTGTGAGCGTGTGTGTGAGCGTGTTTGTGAGCGTGTTTGTGAGCGTATTTGTGAGCGTGTTTGTGAGCGTGTGTGTGAGCGTGTGTGTGAGCGTGTTTGTGAGCGTGATTGTGAGCGTGTGTGTGAGCGTGTTTGTGAGCGTGTTTGTGAGCGTATTTGTGAGCGTGTTTGTGAGCGTGTGTGTGAGCGTGTGTGTGAGCGTGTTTGTGAGCGTGTTTGTGAGCGTATTTGTGAGCGTGTGTGAGCGTGTTTGTGAGCGTGTGTGTGAGCGTGTTTGTGAGCGTATTTGTGAGCGTGTTTGTGAGCGTGTGTGTGAGCGTGTTTGTGACCGTGTGTGTGAGCGTGTTTGTGAGCGTGTGTGTGAGCGTGTTTGTGAGCGTGTTTGTGAGCGTGTTGTGAGCGTGTGTGTGAGCGTGTTTGTGAGCATTTCACTCCATTTGCTTCTGTGCACAGATGCAGAGGAACAGAGACCTGTCACACTCCTAGGTATTACGTTCCAAATGACCAAATTGTTATTTTGTTACTCTCAAGATTATTCCGTAGTGTTAGTTTAATATTTTAATACTTAACATTATACAGACTGTAATATTATGCTCATTTATATTATGTTGTATGAATGGGAGGGTTACTAAAATCATTATTAGTTTATGCGAATGTGAAAAATAAGGATAAATCATCTCTTTCATAAGCTAGTTTCTTTTCAGTACACACAGTTTGGATTGTACTCAACATTATTTTCTGTATTTCATTAAACAGTTCGTTAAATCATGACTAAAAGGACATTCTTTCTCATGCAAAGCTTCTATTTGAAGTTATTTTCTGTTTTGAGCTTAAAGGGATACTCATTGACAAACCTAATGACAACACCAACAGTCACTTTGCTTCTACAGTGTCATTTACATCAAATATTCATTTTTTTGGTCCCAAATTGGATGAAAATGAAGTTTGTGGTTGAACCAGAGAGTGAAGGAGGTGGGATAGCGGGACATGAAAGTGATTAATTAGTAACAAGATGGGGATAATTAAAGCATGTGTTGTCTTGGGGGGAATTCTGATTGGTTTCTCAGTCACTTCAAAGGCCCTGGCACCTTTGGCTAGAGCGCTGAGGTGTCAGGGATACCAGTTTACAGGATGCCCAATGTGCCTCGACTCGACTGGGTGGGCATCCTGGCATCTGTTCAGTCAGAGCAGAGGAGAGTCAACTGTACTTGTTCTTCCTAAACATGTTGGCAGTGCTAACACACTGGAGACACAGGCAGCGAGGAGTGGTTTATTCTTTTACACTAGCTAGTCGTACCGAAACCTCTGCCAGCTGCTATTTTTGACATCTTGCACAGCCTTCATCTCCCATGATGTTATGCAGGAGATGGCAATCATTAGGATGCTCTTCCTGGGGCCACTCAGATGTTCTCTATTCTTTAAACAAGGTCACTGCAGTAGAGGAGCCACATAATTTGGACAGATTATTATTCGTTTTCATTATCACTACTACTTGGAATAACATCTCTGATCTCTCAAACAACGAAAAGAGTGACTTTGCTGTGGGCACTGGGAAGAGGAGACTGGGGCCTGCCTTGAACATGAGTGCCAATTGAAGTTGTCAGAAGAGAGGCTTTCAAAAGAGGAAGGGGGACTGCAGAGAGTTGGAGCACCTTTGCAGGTGTTTGTCTTAAAAATACATCTCCAAGCGTGTGTGTTTAAGGATGTGACCGTATTCTAATGAGCCCTGCGCTGCTCTGCAGAGCTCTTGAAGTGTGTCAGTGAAGCTGGGGAATAGATGTCCCCTGGGACTCCTCCACTGCCTCTCCCCTGTGCCACCAGCAACACAAGGAAGGGCCTCCACTTTCTTCTCCCTTGTGGGCTATTCTATTGCATAGAGTGTTGGCACACAATACAATGTACAGGGACTATATATAGCCCTTAAATATTATTGCAGTTGTGCATCCTTTCACCTTTATGAAATGCAGACAGTATTTATCATAATTACAGACTGATGATGAAGCCTGATCTTTTTGTAGGGAGGATTGTGTAACATGCAAGGTTGCCATAGAACACAACTCATTGTCAGATTTGAAACCAGCCCAGTTAGATACCCATGTTCACCCCAGCCAATTTGTCTTTTCACTATTCCACCATAGTGGGGGTTTAACTGCCTGTACCCTATGAATTCAGAATGCTTTTGAGTGCATGCTAATGTTGGCTGTCCTATCAATGAAGGCAAGTTTGAGGGAGGGGGGTAGTCGTTGAATTCCATGAGATAAACCAGGGATGGGCAACTGGTGGCCCCCCTTTTGAAAGCCCTCAGTCGAGGTAGAATACACAAGGTGCAATTTAGAAATGTGGTTGTACACAGATAGTCAGTCAATTAGCCCATGTCAGCTAAAACATTTTTTTGTTACTAATTTAGTTTAGCGGCCAGCAATCTAAACGTGTTATCATGGTGTAATTACTGTCTGGGGGGGCCCCCATTGATTTTGTTAGTCAGTCTCACTTAGGTATATTAAAAAATGCAAACATTTCTCTCCACCCTACAGCAAAATGTGTAAAATTGCAGTCTAGGCACTGCATCACAGTGCTAGAGGCGTCACTACAGACCCGGGTTCGATCCCGGGCTGTATCACAACCGACCTTGATCAGGAGTCCAATAGTGAGGCGCACAATTGGCCCAGCGTCTTCAGGGGTAGGGGAGGGTTTGGCATGGGGGGGGGGGCTTTACTTGGCTCGCTGCGCTCTAGCGACTCCTTGTGGCGGGCTGGGCGGTGTTTCCTCCGACATTTGGTGTGGCTGGCTTCCGGGTTAAGCGGGCGGGTGTTAAGAGTCGCGGTTTGGCGGGTCATGTTTCGGAGGACGCATGACTCGACCTTCGCCTCCCGAGCCCTTTGGGGAGTTGCAGCGATGAGACAAGATCGTAATTGGGGAGAAAAAGGGGGTAAAATACAAAAAATGTAATTGCAGGAAATTAGCTGTAAAAGCTCATTTTCCTCTCCGCCCCATGGTAAATTAGTAGAATTACATGAAATTAGTTATAAAATGGCTAAATATTCTCTACACCCCATCAAAGTTGCCCATCACTGAGATAGACAAAAATTAGCTATAGTATGTTTGGGGATAATGTGCACATTAAAATGTAATCACAATCACAAATGTATAAAGAAAAATAAACAATGGCATCTGAATGTTATTTACAATTCAGGAGCTTAATAATTCATGTTGACCATATGTATTTGACAAGCAGATAAAAGTGATAAAAGATGGCGTGCTCACGGCAATTTCCATTTTGCTAACTGCATCTTTAGTCTAATGTCGCCATCTAGTGGTTAATTGTAGTACAGTGGCTGGTACTGCACACATTCTGTGGTCATATGTCATACTGTCATTGTCATATATTTATGACAGCGTTTACAGGATTTATGACGAGAGATTCATGAAAAATGTTGTGATAATGGGAAACTAACCATTGCCTTGTTTTGCTGTGACAAAACTGTTTTTTTTGTCGACACGTTTTTTTGTATTTTTACGGTGTATAAATCATTGTGACAAGTAAACTAGTTGCGTTCCTTTCGTTGCCAATCAAATGTTAATTAATTATTTATGACAAGTCCCACCCGATTGTTGTGGTTTGTACCATTCTGCTCGCGCAACAATTTAAATCGTTCCCAAACATTCCATGACAGTTTGTTTATCGTAACAACCGACAATCAATACCGTATTGGTCCGAATATAAGACGACCCTGATTATAAGACGACCCCCCCTTTTTCAACACAAACATTTAGAAAAACAGATTTGCAGACTAGATTTGCCGAACAAAGAACTTCATTTTATTTTAAAATAACAATATTAAAAACACAGTGAATTAAACACAAAGGCAAACTATGTACAGTATGATTCAAAATTAATATCAAGCAATAATAAAGCAACATTTTTAAATAACAGAGAAAATACAGGCCACACATTTAACTAAACTTAACAAAAATTCGCCAAACTTCTCCTCCGATGTCTCTCTATCCCTCACACACGTCCTCTGCCCCGCTGTGTTCGCTCTCGCTGTCATCGCTCCCCAGCTGCTCCGCTTCGTTAGCATCTTTTAGACGTTGTTTTTCTGCTCGCCATCTTCTTACATTACACTCAGTGACCCCGAATGTCTTGGCAGCTTGGCAGTTGTTAGATGACTCTGCCTTATTGACAACCATTATTTTGAAATTGGCATCATAGCTCCTCCGCTGTTGTTTATTGACCTGGCCCACTTTTGAGCCACTTGTCTCTAAATGGTCAGCCTGTCTTTCCATCTTTAAACACCGGTAACGGGCTGGTTGTTAAGGACGCCTCTTCCCTCCGTCCGGAACGAATTTTTGGCGCCATCTGTGCCCGCGAATGTGTATTGACATTTAAAGGGAGCGCCGAAGAAGAGAAACTGCGCTCTGAATACTAGACCCCGAATATAAGACGACCCGACTTTTTTGGACCTATTTCGAGGGGAAAAAAGGCCGTCTTATATTCGGACCAATACGGTAGGTAGTTTTTTTGCTTGTTGTCTGTCACAAAAGGTTTTCTCTCAAGTTGAGTTGCAACAATGGATAGGCATCCCAAGCGAAGAGCTCAAATGACATTCAAGACAAGTGAACAAAGTAAAAACAAAGATGACAGTAAGAAAAATACCAACGAAAGCGAGGGCCCTGCATCTTCAACAGAGAAGCATCGAGGTGATGGAGAACAGAAGAGACCGGTGGGTAGGCCTAAAGGTAGTGGAAGTTCTGGAAATAGTGAAGCTGTTCAGGTTAGGCCTAAAGTTATTTTCAAAGCTGATAAATGTGGTGGTGATGGGTATCTAATGGCCACAACTTCAACACACCTCAAGGAAGCCATTCAAGGTCGACCAGTTACATTTGAAAAGGAGAGAGCACCATCATCAGTCAATAAACAGAGTAAAGCCACATCTGATCATCCCATGAACTCTCAAGTGCAGGTCATCAAGGAGGAGATCATCACACCTGCTCCAGGTCAGGCCAAGGTCAAGGTAAAAGTTGTCCAAGAACCAACAACGCATCGTCAAGGATGTCCACCTGCGGCTCCCACTATAGACTTCTCCAAACCGATCCATGTTGTCCACGAAAAAACCTTCACAGTATTGGATGGTAAAGCCATAACGCTCAGCAAAGTTCCATACCCATCACCTGTTCATGTGAATGTTCAGCCACTTCCAGTAAAGAAGGTGAACACTAGAGGGACGAATCTCACCATGCCACCATCAGAAGCAGGTATCAATACAAGCTTACCTAAATTGTACATACGAATTGAAGTTTTTAAATACTTTTCAGCACATCATTGTCACATATTGAGTTCATGCACAATCCAATAATCTACAGTGAGGGAAAAAAGTATTTGATCCCCTGCTGATTTTGTACGTTTGCCCACTGACAAAGAAATGATCAGTCTATAATTTTAATGGTAGGTTTATTTGAACAGTGAGAGACAGAAAAACAACAAAAAAATCCAGAAAAAAGCATGTCAAAAATGTTATAAATAGAATTGCATATTAATGAGGGAAATAAGTATTTGACCCCCTCTCAATCAGAAAGATTTCTGGCTCCCAGGTGTCTTTTATACAGGTAACGAGCTGAGATTAGGAGCACACTCTTAAAGGGAGTGCTCCTAATCTCAGCTTGTTACCTGTATAAAAGACAGATGTCCACAGAAGCAATCAATCAATCAGATTCCAAACTCTCCACCATGGCCAAGACCAAAGAGCTCTCCAAGGATGTCAGGGACAAGATTGTAGACCTACACAAGACTGGAATGGGCTACAAGACCATCGCCAAGCAGCTTGGTGAGAAGGTGACAACAGTTGGTGCGATTATTCGCAAAATGGAAGAAACACAAAATAACTGTCAATCTCCCTCGGCCTGGGGCTCCATGCAAGATCCCACCTCGTGGAGTTGCAATGATCATGAGAACGGTGAGGAATCAGCCCAGAACTACACGGGAGGATCTTGTCAATGATCTCAATGCAGCGGGGACCATAGTCACCAAGAAAACAATTGGTAACACACTACGCCGTGAAGGACTGAAATCCTGCAGCGCCCGCAAGGTCCCCCTGCTCAAGAAAGCACATATACAGGCCCGTCTGAAATTTGCCAATGAACATCTGAATGATTCAGAGGAGAACTGGGTGAAAGTGTTGTGGTCAGATGAGACCAAAATCGAGCTCTTTGCCATCAACTCAACTCGCCGTGTTTGGAGGAGGAGGAATGATGCCTATGACCCCAAGAACACCATCCCCACCGTCAAACATGGAGGTGGAAACATTATGCTTTGGGGGTGTTTTTCTGCTAAGGGGACAGGACAACTTCACCGCATCAAAGGGACGATGGACGGGGCCATGTACCGTCAAATCTTGGGTGAGAACCTCCTTCCCTCAGCCAGGGCATTGAAAATAAGTTGTGGATGGGTATTCCAGCATGACAATGACCCAAAACACACGACCAAGGCAACAAAGGAGTGGCTCAAGAAGAAGCACATTAAGGTCCTGGAGTGGCCTAGCCAGTCTCCAGACCTTAATCCCATAGAAAATCTGTGGAGGGAGCTGAAGGTTGAAGTTGCCAAATGTCAGCCTCGAAACCTTAATAACTTGGAGAAGATCTGCAAAGAGGAGTGGGACAAAATCCCTCCTGAGATGTGTGCAAACCTGGTGGCCAACTACAAGAAACGTCTGACCTCTGTGATTGCCAACAAGGGTTTTGCCACCAAGTACTAAGTCATGTTTTGCAGAGGGGTCAAATACTTATTTCCCTCATTAAAATGCAAATCAATTTATAACATTTTTGACATGCGTTTTTCTGGATTTTGTTGTTGTTATTCTGTCTCTCACTGTTCAAATAAACCTACCATTAAAATTATATAGACTGATCATGTCTTTGTCAGTGGGCAAACGTACAAAATCAGCAGGGGATCAAATACTTTTTTCCCTCACTGTATGTGAACATTTTCCTTCTAGAAAATCTGGAAGTAACACGGAGTGTAGACAGAAATGGCTATATCAAAAGGCCTATGAATGCGTTCATGGTCTGGGCGAGAATCCACAGACCTGCCCTGTCCAAGGCCAACCCAACAGCCAACAACGCAGACGTCAGTGTGCAGCTAGGAGCAGAGTGGAGCAAGCTCACTGAGGAAGAGAAGAGGCCCTACTATGAGGAAGCACGTCAACTCAAAGACAAGCACATACATGAGTTCCCTGGTAAGCATAGTGCAGGTTGCCTACTCACTCACACCATTCAAGTCCATTTAAACGTATAATTATTGTTTCATATATTTATCATATTTCAAAATTCATATAACTGACACTTTATGATCTTTACTTACTTTTCAAGTGTTTGTTCACAATCTTTACCCATAATCATCACAGGTTGGATCTATCAGCCCAGACCTGGAAAAAGAAAGGGCTACCCTTCTGTGATGTCCTTCGCCCCTCAACCATCCTGCAGCTCTGCAGGTACAAGTGTTCCTGGGGCTGAGTCTTGTCCCATGACCATGGCCATGGCCACCACTACCACCAGCTCCTCTGTTGCAAACACACGGGCCACAGGTAAAGCAATAGCTCACTATCTGGCAATCCCTCACCAGACACACTTTCATTTAGTGCACAAGTATAAGAAGCTAAGAACATACAGATGTTAGTCTCTCCATACAACAGACACATACTACAAAAACATACTTCTATCAACATGGGAAATCTAAAACTACAGTTAATGTTTTAATAGAGATGGAAGGCAGTAGCTGCTATAACAGTAAGCTGGAATAAGACATGGTAGTATAAAGCTTAATACAGTATTTGTTTTGGTTTTGTCTTCCTAAGGCTCTAATGACCATGGTGTCCAGGGTGCTACAGTGGCAGCTCCAAATGCCTCTCAGAGTACCAGCCCAGTCTCCATATTCTTCCAGACTACTGCCTGCCCACATCCCCACCCAACAGCCACTACCTCTGGTGCTAAGCCTGCAGAACGCAAGCGTGAAGCCAGACACTGTGGCAGCAACCTTGAAGAAGCTCCCAAACCCAGGAAAATCAGCAGTCAACAGGCGTACTACAATTCTGCCAGTGAGATTCCCTCTACAATCATGCCATCCAGCTCCAGAGGTCTCCAAATACCACTCTCTAACCTGGCTTACCCACACATGTATCCTCCATCTCCCATGCAACACCCGGTGGGCCTCTTCCCCACCCCTTGCTTCCCCTTTGCTCCGCCCTTCTTCATGCCTGGACCCCAGTTTTATCCAACAGGGTAAGCAATGCATGCTGTTTCATGTTGAATACCAATTTTGTACTATGTAGGTATGCTGTTTGATCTTTTATAATTGTGCAGGTTAGTGGTGAAAATTGAACTATGGTCATTTGAAACGTCATCATCCTGGGATTGGCTTTTTTTCAGATCATACCCTTACCCACATGGCCCATACTCCTACCCAGTTCTCCAACCCCAGGAGTTCTCAAACCCCATGGCTACTCCTATGTCTACTCCGGGCTACCCCTATGATGACAACTACGATCAGCATGAGTCCACGTTCTCCCTTCTCAACAGAGACTACCCGTTTCGGCAGAGAGGGGAGGGCGGGCAGAGATGTCAAGGTCAAGGGCAGGCCCCCACTACCTCTGAGCTCCTGGGTTCGGTCCCACCACTGGATGTGCGTGCCCTGGAGAATGTCTTCACCAACTCTGCGCCAGAGAACCCTGCCAGTGTCCAAGAGGTCCAAGTCACCAATGAGGAGGACGGGGAAGAGGTGCGCGTGATGAGAATTCTCTAGCATCAAACCAAAGTGACATCCTTTAGTAAAATCCCTGATAGAGTATATTTGTTGTCAGTGTATATAAAGTCCCAAAAAGTATCTACAAATAAATTAATAGTTACTGTTATTCTGAAGTAATTTATTTTTTAAAGATAAATACTGTTTTATGAGATCGACCTCTGCTCTGTACAAAATGACATTTTGCAGTATTTTAAAGTGTTTGAAAGGAAGTCTATTTATTTATGCCTTTTTTTCTTCAAATACCTGGTTTGTAAGGAGAAAGGGGTGCTTTGCTGGTTTTATGCAGACTGAGAGTCCAGGCATAGACAGGTACTACTGGCCTATTCAGAGTACTGTGCTCTTCATATAGAAATCCAATAAAAATGCCAATGCACCAATAATACATGTAGAGTGGTCATTGATCCATAAGTTATCATTTTTACACAAGTATAGCAACTACTGTAAATCCAATATTGTTAATAACTTGCATGTAACTATGCAATTATGTATTTTTCTTAGTAAATGTAAATGAGGTTGTGGTACAGTTGCCTGTCTGGCCATCTGTTATGAAATTGTTACCCATCAATAGTTAGGAAAGTCCTAACTGAACAAAGACATCACAGTTGGCTGGACGCAGAGCCCTCTGGCCAGACGATGGCGACTATTTTGTCATCCAATCAGATTTTCTAAATGACGGACGCGTACTATGATTGATAGGGCATTTGGCCAATGTCGCGTAAAAGTTTGTGTGCGGAGGCGTTTCCAGGAAGAGTCGTTTCAATTTTCTGTAATGGCGGACCACGGAGACGGTGAAAGTATTGGGTTTAACGACAACAGGTGAGGTGGTAGCGAATATAGCCAAGTGAATCATATTTTTGAGAATTACTGTTTTCTACGGTTGTTAGCTAGTTTGACATGAATGTGAACGTGACCTCCCAATGTCGGATCTGTTACATGCGCTCCCGACTAGTAGTGCATTCGGCGCTGAGCTGTGCTCTGACTGTTCAATGTGGCCACGCTAGCAGCTAGCATCATTAGCTAGTCTCGTAGCTAGACTCCCTCCTGACTCGTGTATTTTTCTAAACTATGATGCTATTTAGCTAGCTGCGCGTCGATTTAAATGGCACAACATTAACTAACGTTAGCAACCTAGCTAGTTAGAGTAACAAACGTTGCATTAGCTAGCTAACTAACTAGTGTACACATTCGCTAGCAACCGTTACTGTGTTAATGTGCGTACTACCAGTTTATGTAGTTAGTTAGCTAGCTAGTCAGTCATTTTGCTAGTTAACTTACAATCGTAACTTGACTGCACCGTTTGATCCCAACAAGCAATGTATAGCTAGTTAGACTGTAACGTAAGTTAGCTAGTTAGTCTGATAACATGAATCATGATTTTGTGGGGGTCACTAACGACGTTAGCCTGTGTTGTTGCAAACAATAAGCTGAGAACGGGGAAGATAGCTAGCTAGTAGATATAGCTACAAGATGTTGATAGATTGTGACGATATACCAGATGTTGTGTAGTTAGATATTTTGATTTGGTTCATGAGCCAGGTCCATTTGTTTTGTTTCTAGAATGGCACAGCAGCAGACGCTGCGTTTCCGCGGCCCTGCTCCTCCTCCAACCCCAGTGATGCGTGGTCCACCCCCACTTCTCAGACCCCCACCTCCCCCCTTCGGTATGATGAGAGGGCCTCCGCCACGGGGGCCACTGTTCGGGCGTCCACCGTTTGACCCCAGCATGCCACCCATACCCCCACCAGGAGGCATGCCCCCACCACTCGGACCCCCTCACCTACAGGTACACCTGTCAGAGTTGCAAGGAATCATTTCTGGCAATCGATCCATCCATCTTTTCTATAGTATGTGACTGCTAAACATTTTGTCAGTCAGAGGTCTGAATGCATTGAGAGCCTGAAAATCTTAGACTGCAGAGCAAGTATTAAATGCTTGATATTTAAATGATTTTTTTTGTATTTCAGAGACCTCCTTTTATGCCCCCACCGATGGGCAGCATGCCTCCACCACCAGGGATGCTATTCCCTCCTGGAATGCCCCCAGTTCCTGCAGCTGGAGCTCATACTCTTCCCCCTACTGAGGAGATCTGGGTGGAGAACAAGACACCCGAGGGAAAGGTAGAGAATAGCCTTACTTAAAGGAAAGATTCACCCATTTTGAATGTTATATTGTTTTTGTGCATCTCTGAGCGACATTCTATTGATTCCCGGGGTCATTTCATGTTTTCATGTGTATTGGAGCTATTGCCATTCAAGCAGGCAGAAGTACAGCTGGTATGACGAGTTTTGCATCCCGGCTGTATTTCTGCCTGCTTGAATGGCCAATAGCGCCGATACACATGAAAACATGAATTGACCCCGGGAATTGATAGATCATCACTTAGTGATGCAGAAAAACAATATAACATTCAAAATGTGTGAATCTTTCCTTTAATAACCTATCTGAATGAATATTTCCCTCATAAGTTATGTCCCCCCTTCCCCTAGGCGTACTACTACAACGCCAGGACTCGAGAGTCAGCCTGGAGCAAACCTGAAGGGGTGAAGGTGATCCAGCAGTCAGAGCTCAACCCTATGATGGGGACCCTGACTGGAACAGGAGCCTCTTCCAATAGCAGCACTGCAGCCTGCACTGCAGCAGCCACACCCTCCCCAGTGTCTACACAGGCTCCTTCCCAGTCCCGCACCATGACTACCAGCCCAGACACCAACACCACCTCTTCTGTGTCCCAGACCATCACTAGTGAGTACAGCACTGGGAAAGGGACATCTGGATCTTCTTTAGTTCTCTGGACAGGTCTGACTTTTATATGGTTAGAAATCCTCATGGTATGACAAAATAAGACTGATTTTAGTGAAAATCACAAAGTTGGAAATGAGTAGTTTTCTGCTTGTCTATGGTTAGTTTTACTGTATGTCCAGACTGCGTGTTGTAACACTCTGCTGGTATTTGCCCAGCTTCTGCTGCTACAGATCTGCAGCCTGTGGTCTCCGTCCCCTCCAGTGTGGGAGTGACGCCGATGGCTTTGGTCAGTGTAACCACAGTTCCATCCTCAGTGACACCAGTCCAGACCATGTCCCTGCTGCCCCAAAGTCTCCCGACTGGCCTGTCCCACCACACCATGTCCCAACCTCACACCACGGCCACAATCCCAGGCTTCCCGCCAGGGGTCATGCACCCCTTCAGAGTGCCTCTACCAGGCATGCACATCCCACTGCCCGGTAAGACATGATCTGCTCTCTCCTCATCCCAAACCTCTCTACCTTGTTTTAACATGACTGACTCTCCACCCCTTTCCATACTGTCATTAGCCATCTCTTCATTTGTTTGTCATCTTAACATTAGGTCTCTTATTGTTATCCCCTGTACATTTTACATGTTAGTCATTTAGCAGACGCTCTTATCCAGAGCGACTTACAGAAGTGAATGCATACATTTTATCTATTAAAAGTAATAGATTAAACAAATAATTGTAGAGGTAGAATGGTCTCGGTCATGGTTGGAGAGATAAATAAGCAAACTAGTTTTTTTTGTTTTTTGATTCTTGAAACTTATTCCACAACTCCATGTTCAACTCTTAGAATGTTTGTTTATTCTTGCACTGCAGTTATTGGAGAAACAAGTCATTTTCTGTCCTGTAGATGGCAGCATTGCTCAAGTTCAGAAAAGGGTCAGCTAGGGGTCGAGAAAACAAATGCAGGAGCAAATTTAAATGCCTTTGAGACGCTGTCCTATAAAGAAAGAGGGCGTTTTTGTTGACTCACTATGCATTTTTTAAATTAATTTAAAGGTGCAATATGCAGAAATCCCTCCGCCATTTCCTGGTTGCTAAAATTCTAATAGTTTGCCTAATTTCAGTTTGTGACAAAACAAGCAATGTATAGTTCAGAGAATCATTGTACCATCTAAAATGCTGTGAAATGTATTTTCAATAACCAAAAATATTGTATTTTCAGCTGTTTGAAACTGGTTTACAAAACCAGAAGTAAAAGATGCAAAAACCAAACTTAAGAACTGGAAGCATAGAAATAGCACATATAGAGAAGATCTACTGCTTCTTAGACTTGCTTTCAATTAGAATTTTGATCTATAACTCACATTTCTATGTGCATTTGGTTGGGTCGTCCAATAAGTTGCATATTGCAGCTTTGAATGTTTTTTTTAACAAAACATTTTTAGTTCAATACTCTGCACATCTACATAACCTAATCAGCACTTTATTGATCCATCTGGTTGTTGCCAGGAAGATAATACTACATGTTATCAAAGGGATAATAGTGGTTGTGGGCCTAGTTTTGAAATGTATTGTTGAAATCTGTGTCTGACCTGCCCCAGCAGCTGGCACCTCTCTCCTCCTGTGTCCAACACAATGCTTGCTTGTCCGTTCTTGCAGGTGTAGCAATGATGCAGATAGTAGGCGGTCCCTATTTAAAGACAGTCTCCCCCAACAATAACGGTAATTCTTTCAAACGTCTCCAGTCAGTATTCTGTTAGATGGCATGTTAGAGATGTTGTGAAAATTATGCTTCTTATTTTTTTTGGCCCCTTTGGCACCACCAAACAATGTGGAGTATTGCTGTTTTATTTTTTCAACATTAGTGAGTTAGACATTTTAGGACTTCCTGTCTTGTTTAAATGCTTTTTTAAGAGGAGATTTAGGAAGGAGACATTTCGGCCCTTGTATTGTGATGAACAGCCAACAGCTGTTTGGACATAACTGCACTGTGGACTTGCGTCAGTACTGTCTCCGTTATAATGTTGGTTTTAGCTAGGTTACTTTTTGCAGGTTTCGATTTGTTGTGTGATAATTTAGTGACAAAGGTGTATAAGTTTTTGTTTTGACAGGCAACACACCTATTTTAGGTTAGGTTACTTTCCATTTAGTACAGGAAATTCACATTTTATTAATGTTGTATTGTCATTTGATAATCATTTTCTTCTTGTGGCATACCTTTGTGGGTTTTTGTTAACATCTCAGTGGCTCAGTTTAGATGTTACCTGTGTACTCATGGCTAGGGAAGGCCCTTTATTTACAATTCGAAAATTAGGTCTAAGTGTTCGACCTAAGACCTTTATATTTCAGGTGAATTCTTATGGGCTCTAAACTTTATACAGTACCAGTCAAAAGTTTGGACACACCTACTCATTCAAGGGTTTTTCTTTATTTTTTACTATTTTCTACATTGTAGAATAATAGTGAAGACATCAAAATTATGAAATAACACATATGGAATCATGTAGTAACCAAAAAAGTGTTAAACAAATAAAGATATATATTTGAGATTCTTCAAAGTAACCACCCTTTGCCTTGATGACAGCTGTGCACACGCTTGGCATTCTCTTAACCAGCTTCATGAGGTAGTCACCTGGAATGCTTTTCCAACAGTCTTGAAGGAGTTCCCACATATGCTGAGCACTTGTTGGCTGCTTTTCCTTTGCCCTGCGGTCCAACTCATCCCAAACCATCTCCATTGGGGTTAGGTCGGGTGATTGTGGAGGCCAGGTCATGTGATGCAGCACTCCGTCACTCTCCTTCTTGGTCAAATAGCCCTTACACAGCCTGTAGGTGTGTTTTGGGTCATTGTACTGTTGAAAAACAAATGATAGTCCCACTAAGCGCAAAGCAGATGGGATGGCCTATTGCTGCAGAATGCTGTGGTAGCCATGCTGGTTAAGTGTGCCTTGAATTCTAAATAAATCACAGACGGTGTCACCAGCAAAGCACCATCACACCACCACCTCCATGCTTCATGGTGGGAACCACACATGCGGAGATAATCTGTTCACCTACTCTGCGTCTCACAAAGACACGGCGGTTGGAACCAAAAATCTAAAATTTGCACTCATCAGACCAAAGGACAGATTTCCACCGGTCTAATGTCCATTGCTTGTGTTTCTTGGCCCAAGCAAGTCTCTTCTTATTGGTATCCTTTTAGTAGTGGTTTCTTTGCAGCAATTCGACCATGAATGCCTGATTCACACAGTCTCCTCTGAACAGTTGATATTGAGATGTCTGTTACTTGAACTCTGTGAAGCATTTATTTGGGCTGCAATCTGAGGTGCAGTTAACTCTAATTAAATTATCCTCTGCAGCAGAGGTAACTCTGGGTCTTCTTTTCCTGTGGCGGTCCTCATGAGAGCCAGTTTCATCATAGCGCTTGATGGTTTTTGCGACTGCACTTGAAGAAACTTTCAGAGTTTTTAACATTTTACGTATTGACTGACCTTCATGTCTTAAAGTAATGATGGACTGTTGTTTCTGTTTGCTTATTTGAGCTGTTCTTGCCATAATATGGACTTGGTCTTTCACCAAATAGGACTATCTTCTGTATACCACCCGTACCTTGTCACAACACAACTGATTGGCTCAAATGCATTAAGGAGGAAATCAATTCCACAAATTAACTTTTAAGAAGGCAAACCTGTTAATTGAAATGCATTCCAGGTGACTACCTCATAAAGCTGGTTGAGAGAATGCCAAGAGTGTGCAAAGCTGTCATCAAGGCAAAGGGTGGCTACTTTGAAGAATCTCAAATATAAAATATATTTTGATTTGTTTAACACTTTCTTTGGTTACTACATGATTCTATGTGTGTTATTTCATAGTTTTGATGTCTTCACTATTATTCTACAATGTAGAAAATAGTAAAAATAAAGAAAAACCCTTGAATGAGTAGGTGTCCAAACTTTTGACTGGTACTGTACATCCTCAGGACATTTCAAGAATGAGCGATATGAGCACTAGCAAAAGTGTCAATAACACAGCATCTTTTTCCATTTGAACCGTTTTACCCAAATGTGGAAGTAGATGCCCTAACCCTCCTGTGCTCTACGGTTGGTTTTGGTTAGATGTACAGTAGAATGGGGTTAGAAGAGGGTTTATCAGAGAGGAATGTGTCTTAAGAAGTATTCTGTGTGTATTTGACCTTCCACAGGTATGCTGCCTGGCATGGGCCCTCCTCTTCTTCCCATGATGCACCACCCCCAGTTGGCCCTGGCGGCGCCCGCCTTGGCAGGCCTCCAGCTCCCAGAGTGGTCTGAGTACAAAACAGCCGACGGGAAAACCTACTACTACAACAACCGCACACTGGAGTCCACCTGGGACAAACCCCAGGAACTACGGGAGAAAGGTTGGTCTACTTAAAGCTTTGGATCTCTCCAACCAGCTAGCATTCATGCTCGACTGGTTAGTGAGATTTTAGATGTTGCATATCTAATGTGTGTGAGTTTCCCCTCCTATAGAGAAAGAGGCAGAGAAGGCTAAGGAGAGACAGCAGGCCCTGGAGGAGGAGGCCATGGAGATGGAGGATGACGAGCCCAAAATAGAGCCCCCTAAGGAGCTAAAGGAGGTGAGAGGGGAGGTGAGAGGAGAGATGGACCCTACTAGTCAGAAAGGTGGCATCATTCTGTCCTGCATTTTAGAATTTGATAAGGTGTATTATTGTCATCCACCTTTAATAATAGTTGTATTCCTTTCATTGAGCAGGTTAAGGAGGAGGAGATGACTGAAGAGGAGAAAGCAGCACAGAAAGCCAAGCCAGTGGCCACAAACCCCATCCCTGGCACTCCCTGGTATGTAACATAAAGCCAAGCCAGTGGCCACAAACCCCATCCCTGGCACTCCCTGGTATGTAACATAAAGCCAAGCCAGTGGCCACAAACCCCAACCCTGGCACTCCCTGGTATGTAACATAAAGCCAAGCCAGTGGCCACAAACCCCATCCCTGGCACTCCCTGGTATGTAACATAAAGCCAAGCCAGTGGCCACTAACCCCATCCCTGGCATGCAACAGAAAGCCAAGCCAGTGGCCACTAACCCCATCCCTGGCATGTAACAGAAAGCCAAGCCAGTGGCCACAAACCCCATCCCTGGTATACAACAGAAAGCCAAGCCAGTGGCCACTAACCCCATCCCTGGCACTCCCTGGTATACAACAGAAAGCCAAGCCAGTGGCCACTAACCCCATCCCTGGCATGTAACAGAAAGCCAAGCCAGTGGCCACAAACCCCATCCCTGGTATACAACAGAAAGCCAAGCCAGTGGCCACTAACCCCATCCCTGGCACTCCCTGGTATACAACAGAAAGCCAAGCCAGTGGCCACTAACCCCATCCCTGGCATGTAACAGAAAGCCAAGCCAGTGGCCACAAACCCCATCCCTGGCACTCCCTGGTATACAACAGAAAGCCAAGCCAGTGGCCACAAACCCCATCCCTGGTATACAACAGAAAGCCAAGCCGGTGGCCACTAACCACATCCCTGGTACTCGCTGGTAGGTGCCACTGATGGTAACAGAGCTATGTGCTGTTGTATGGAGGCTAAACTTGCATCACTCACACGCCCTTGTGCCCTATTGAACGTGTGTGTAGGTGTATTGTGTGGACCGGTGACGAGCGTGTGTTCTACTACAACCCCACCACGCGTCTCTCTATGTGGGACCGGCCAGAGGAGCTGGTGGGACGGGCCGACGTTGACAAGAACATCCAGGAACCACCTCACAAGAGAGGCCTGGAGGACGCCACCAGGAAGCTGGGTACGAACACACACGGGCACACTCATTCTGCCTCTGTAGGTGTTCATGACGATGGCCTCATTTGTCATTTTACAATGCTGTCTCATCACTTCTCTCTCCCTCAGGAATCAGCAAAGAGGAGCTTGAGGCAGCAGCAGAGGAAGCTCTGGAAGATGAGCCTGTGAAGGCCAAGAAGAGGAAGTAAGTCCCCAGTCCTCTCCATCCAAGGGCCCAGCACACTTTAGTAGGGGCCATTAACAGCATGTCGAGGCACTCAGTCATTCTTCCTCGTCTGAACAGATAAAACAGCTTGTACAAATTCAAATAAACCCATGATGTACTCTGGCTAAAAATATCTAAATTGTTAGTTTAAGGTTAAGTTAGGGTTTTTGGTCGTGAAAACACTAAATTGCTTGATTTGGATATTTTCCTGTGGGGGTGGAGGGACTGACTCTTTCTGTGGGAAGTAGTCTTTAACCCAGCTTGTACTGACTAAGTAAAGCCTATGATGTCTTCACTGGTTCTGTTAAAGTGGTCAATCAATGGTCACTGTCCAGGTTACCCAATCAGTCACTGTTTCCCATCGGTGCCCTCCAAGCCTGCCTCTCCCCGCTACCCTAAACACTGGTCCTGTTGCACAAGAGACTATTGTTCAGGGAAAAGGCCTGTAGAACACATGGTGATGCCAACATGGGCCTCCAAGGTAACCACCTTGCTTGACCTTCTTCTTCTAGAACTACTGCATTAGGAACCGCAATGAGCAAATGAAGACATGAACCTCCCTGCCCCGTCCCGCCATAGCTGTATGTGATAGTGGAAAAGGGAATACAAAATCCAAGACAGTGAATATCAGTGGTCAGGTATTTGACAAATCCTCCCCCTCCCGATCTTTATAACCCGTAGGACCTATGCAAGACCTAACGTGTATCATTTGGAGTCCACTCATTTGGTAGATGGCCGATAATTGATCAGTCAAGTATAGCAGACCACCTAGGTAGAGATAACATAGAACAACATACTGTTTCATTTCCCCAATTGAAGAAGTTAAGTTTCACCCCAGTCCAGCCCCCCCCATCTATCACTAACTCTCCCCTGGGCCTTGACGTCTTCCCTCTGCTTGCAGGAAGGAGGAAGTGATGAAAGAGGCGGACTCTGAGAAAGAGGCAGCCATGGAGGCGGAGCTGAAGGCTGCCCGAGAGCGGGCCATTGTGCCCCTGGAGAACCGCATGACACAGTTCAGGGACATGCTGCTGAAGAGAGGGGTAAAACACTTCAATCCAACGCAATACTGTAACCAGCTCTGTAATGTTAGACACATTAATCTGAATGGAAGCCCACCAAGGTACACTCTTCAGTTAATTATCCTTGTCTTTGGTGCACTGTTTTATTCCTGTTCTTCTTCCTCTATCTTATGCCCAGTTTATTGACAAGTACATTTCTGCTTATGTTTTGCTTTGGTAATACTTCAAAAAGTAAATTCATAAAAGTTAGTTAAACATGTTATGTACACATCTACAATAGTATTGAATTGTAATGATAGACTAAGAATTTAACATTTCACTATTCTACGTAGGGAAGAAATTATTTAATATACACTACCGTTCAAAAGTTGGGGGTCACTTAGAAATGTCTTTGTTTTTCGAAAGAAAAGCATTTATTTTGGTCCATTAAAATAACATCAAATTGATCCGAAATACAGTGTAGACATTGTTAACGTTGTAAATGGCTATGGTAGCTGGAAACGGCTGATTTTTAATGGAATATCTACATAGGCGTACAGAGGCCCATTATCAGCAACCATCAGTCCTGTGTTCCAATGGCACGTTGTGTTTGCGAATCCAGGTTTATCATTTTAAAAGGCTAATTGATCATTAGAAAACCCTTTTGCAATTATGTTAGTACAGCTGAAAACTGTTGTGCTGATTTTAAAGAAGCAATAAAACTGGCCTTCTTGAGACTAGTTGAATATCTGGAGCATCAGCAATTGTGGGTTCGATTACAGAATCAAAATGGCCAGAAACAAAGAACTTTCTTCTGTAACTCGTCGGTCTATTCTTGTTCTGAGAAATGAAGGCTATTCCATGTGAGAAATTGCCAAGAAACTGAAGATCTCGTACAATGCTGTGTACTACTCCCTGCACAGAACAGCGCAAACTGGCTCTAACCAGAATAGAAAGAGGAGTGGGAGGCCCCGGTGCACAACTGAGCAAGAGGACAAATACATTTAGTGTCTAGTTTGAGAAACAGACGCCTCACAGGTCCTCAACTCGTAGCTTCATTAAATAGTACCCATAAAACACCAGTCTCAACGTCAACAGTGAAGAGGCGACTCCGGGATGCTGACCTTCTAGGCAGAGTTGCAAAGAAAAAGCCATATCTCAGACTGGCCAATAAAAGATGAAGATGGGCAAAAGAACACAGACACTGGACAGAGGAAGATTGGAAAAAGGGTTATGGACAGACTAATCGAAGTTTGAGGTGTTCGGATCACAAAGAAGAACATTTGTGAGACGCAGACCAAATGAAAAGATGCTGGAGGAGTGCTTGATGCCATCTGTCAAGCATGGTGGAGGCAATGTGATGGTCTGGGGGTGCTTTGGTGGTGGTAAAGTGGGAGATGTGTACAGGGTAAAGGGGATCTTGAAGAAGGAAGGCTATAACTCCATTTTGCAACGCTATGCCATACCCTGTAGACAGCGCTTGATTGGAGCCAATTCCCTCCTACAACAGGACAATGACCCAAAGCACAGCTCCAAACTATGCAAGAACTATTTAGGGAAGAAGCAGTCAGCTGGTATTCTGTCTATAATGGAGTGGCCAGCAGTCACCGGATCTCAACCCTATTGACCGTATGGTACGTAAGAAGTTCCCATCAAGCCAATCCAACTTGTGGGAGGTGCTTCAAGAAGCATGGGGTGAAATCTCTTCAGATTACCTCAACAAATTGACAACTAGAATGCCAAAGGTCTTGCAAGGCTGTAATTGCTGCAAATGGAGGATTCTTTGACGAAAGCAACGTTTGAAGGACACAATTATTATTTCAATTAAAAATCATTATTTCTAACCTTGTCAATGACTACTCATTTCATGTATGTTTTCATGGAAAACAAGGACATTTCTAAGTGACCCCAAACTTTTGAACGGTAGTGTGTGTGATATATATATGTGTGTTAATCTATTTATTGTACATAATGGTGACTTTTATATATCTTTTTTTGAAAATGACTCGTGCCGTATGCTCATGCTGTACTGGAGTTTATCAGTGTTCTTTGGTTTGTCCAATACATTCATGGGATCCATATATCTACAGGCCTACACTGCCAATGGCGGTCGTAATGTTCCTTATTTCCAAACTGGCATGCAGAGTAGATAATAGCTTGATGTTGTCATCTCCTCTAATCTGGGATCATCTTTCATGTGTTCAGCTTCTGTTTGTATTACATGAACTATGTACCAACTTTTCTATCCTATAAACAGTTGTTCAGCTTCTGTTCAGACCCAAAAGAGGCATATTGCAACTCTGACACATCCAAAGCAGAGATAAAAACTAATTGGATTGTAAAATGTATTAAACTACCCTAGCAAGGGAGTTATTGGTGCCTGCCTGCCTGCTCTCTGGAGCCTTTTCCATGGGTACCACCAGCCGTGATTCAAACCTTTTTATTGCCTTGCTCTGCTGTAATTTCATTGCTCCTTTGGGTGTCACTAGTTTGAGGAGTAAAACGTGACTCATTCCAACCCTTTTAGATTTGAGGGGGATTGATTGGGTTGACGGGGGATTATTTCCCCTGGAAGGAAACTAATTTGACTGATGACTGAAAGTGTTATGTGAATGTTGTTGAAGCCCACCTTGATTGGCCTGGTCTCACACCCTCCAACCCCGTGCCTACAGGTCTCAGCATTCTCTACCTGGGAGAAAGAGTTGCACAAGATTGTTTTTGATCCGCGATACCTGCTACTTAACCCCAAAGAGAGAAAGCAGGTATTGTACACTTACAAAATGAATTTATGATTTTTTTTTTTTTTTCCATATTCAGTCTTATTATGATATGAGCTATGTTTCCCTTTGGGGGAAGATCAGAGCTCTGCGATCAGGTAACATATGTATTTCCCTAGGGGTTACAGTGAGGGGAAAAAGTATTTGATCCCCTGCTGATTTTGTACGTTTGCCCACTGACAAAGAAATTATCAGTCTATCATTTTAATGGTAGGTTTATTTGAACAGTGAGATCCAGAAAAACGCATGTCAAAAATGTTATAAATTGATTTGCATTTTAATGAGGGAAATAAGTATTTGACCCCTCTGCAAAACATGACTTAGTACTTGGTGGCAAAACCCTTGTTGGCAATCACAGAGGTCAGACGTTTCTTGTAGTTGGCCACCAGGTTTGCACACATCTCAGGAGGGATTTTGTCCCACTCCTCTTTGAAGATCTTCTCCAAGTCATTAAGGTTTCGAGGCTGACGTTTGGCAACTCGAACCTTCAGCTCCCTCCACAGAATTTCTATGGGATTAAGGTCTGGAGACTGGCTAGGCCACTCCAGGACCTTAATGTGCTTCTTCTTGAGCCACTCCTTTGTTGCCTTGGCCGTGTGTTTTGGGTCATTGTCATGCTGGAATACCCATCCACGACCCGTTTTCAATGCCCTGGCTGAGGGAAGGAGGTTCTCACCCAAGATTTGACGGTACATGGTCCCGTCCATCGTCCCTTTGATGCGGTGAAGTTGTCCTGTCCCCTTAGCAGAAAAACACCCTTAGCATAATGTTTCCACCTCCATGTTTGACGGTGGGGATGGTGTTCTTGGGGTCATAGGCAGCATTCCTCCTCCTCCAAACACGGCGAGTTGAGTTGATGGCAAAGAGCTCGATTTTGGTCTCATCTGACCACAACACTTTCACCCAGTTCTCCTCTGAATCATTCAGATGTTCATTGGCAAACTTCAGATGGGCATGTATATGTGCTTTCTTGAGCAGGGGGACCTTGCGGGCGCTGCAGGATTTCAGTCCTTCACGGCGTAGTGTGTTACCAATTGTTTTCTTGGTGACTATGGTCCCAGCTGCCTTGAGATCATTGACAAGATCCTCCCGTGTAGTTCTGGGCTGATTCCTCACCGTTCTCATGATCATTGCAACTCCACGAGGTGAGATCTTGCATGGAGCCTCAGGCCAAGGGAGATTTGACAGTTATTTTGTGTTTCTTCCATTTGCTAATAATAGCACCAACTGTTGTCACCTTCTCACCAAGCTGCTTGGCGATGGTCTTGTAGCCCATTCCAGCCTTGTGTAGGTCTACAATCTTGTCCCTGACATCCTTGGAGAGCTCTTTGGTCTTGGCCATGGTGGAGAGTTTGTAATCTGATTGCTTCTGTGGACAGGTGTCTTTTATACAGGTAACAAGCTGAGATTCGGAGCACTCCCTTTAAGAGTGTGCTCCTAATCTCAGCTCGTTACCTGTATAAAAGACACCTGGGAGCCAGAAATCTTTCTGATTGAGAGGGGGTCAAATACTTATTTCCCTCATTAAAATGCAAATCAATTTATAACATAAATGTGTTTTTCTTAATTTTTTTGTTGTTATTCTGTCTCACTGTTCAAATAAACCTACCATTAAAATTAGAATGATCATTTCTTTATCAGTGGGCAAACTTACAAAATCAGTAGGGGATCAAATACTTTTTCCCTCACTGTATCTGCCAGTCCTGTCTTTTTATTTCTGTCTGCTGGTCCTGTGCAGGTGTTTGACCAGTATGTGAAGACCCGGGCTGAGGAGGAGCGGAAGGAGAAGAAGAACAAGCTGATGCAGTCTAAGGACGAGTTCAGGAAGATGATGGAGGAGGCCAAGCTCACTGCCAGGTCAGACCTCACTACAAACGCCCATTAGTTAATACGTTACCAGTCAGGTGATTAGTTTAATACATTGACTTGGTGTACCAGTCAGGTGTACATTTACATTATTAGTATCTCTCAGGCAGCTAAGAGTTGCTATGTTGTTTGTTTCAGGACAACGTTCAGTGAGTTTGCCTCCAAGCACGCCAAGGACCCACGGTTCAAGACCATAGAGAAGATGAAGGACCGGGAGTCCATCTTTATCGAGTTCATGTCCGCTCTCAAGAAGAAAGAGAAGGAGGACTCCAAGAACAGAGGAGAGAAGGTGAGCACTGGACTGGAAACCCCCATGGCCCACTGAAAACAGTAGCCTGAGGAAGTGATATGCTGGACAAGTAGCTAGCTGCCTGGATTGTGTGCTTAGTGAAACCTGGAAACACTTGGAATATCTGACTGTGTCTATGTTTATAGGCTCCTGAGTGGCGCAGTGGTCTAAGGCACTGCATTGCAGTGCTAGCTGTGCCACTAGAGATCCTGGTTCGATTCCAGGCTCTGTCACAGCCGGCCGCGACCGGGAGACTCATGGGCGGCGCACAATTGGCCCAGCGTTGTCCAGGGTAGGGGAGGGAATGGCCGGCAGGGATGTAGCTCAGTTGATAGAGCATGGCGTTTGCAATGCCAGGTTTGTGGGTTCGATTCCCACGGGGGACCAGTATGAAAAAAAAATTATAATAAAAATATGTATTCACTAACTGTAAGTCGCTCTGGATAAGAGCGTCTGCTAAATGACTAAAATATAAAAATGTAAATGTATGTTCCTATTGTAAACCTGGTCTCTGTCCCAGGTGAAGCAGGACTTCTTTGAGCTGCTTGGTGACCACCACCTGGATGGAGGGCAGCGCTGGAGCAAGGTGAAGGACAAGCTGGAGGGAGACCCCCGCTACAAGGCTGTGGAGAGCTCCAACACCAGAGAGGAACTCTACAAGCAGTATGTGGACAAGCAGGCCAAGGTGGGAGGAACAGGATAGCGCCTCTGAGGCTGCCCTTACTGCTCACACTCACTGGCTCCAGCTTGTCATCTTCTGGCATTTAACCCAGCCCATTCAGTGCCGCGCTCTTAGATGCTGTTTAGCCACTTGACGTGATGGGTGTCATGACGCATGTGGTGATTGCAGACCCTTGTGTATATGATGCTGCCAGAACATGTCTGATGGTTTGTGTCTCTCTCTTGCCAGAACATGGACTCTGATAAGGAGAAGGAGCTGGAGCGCGCCGCCAGGATAGAGGCCAGTCTGAGGGAGAGGGAGCGCGAGGTGCAGAAGGCCCGCTCTGAGCAGACCAAGGAGATCGACAGAGAACGGGAGCAGCACAAGAGGGAGGAAGCCATCCAGCACTTCAGAGCCCTCATGTCTGATATGGTGAGCACACACCATCAACTCAAGTTTGTTCACCCAATAAGGGACCAACAGGACTACATTTGCAGCTGAGAACTTGGGTGAACCAAACATTTGTTTAGATTAAACCCAGTTTGATATGGCCACTGAAAGATCAACTCAACCAGGCTGATCAGAGACAAGAAAGGAACCTTCGTTTTTAGATTGACCTTGTTAATGTCCAGACTTGTGCACTGGTTATTATGTGGACGAAGAACCATGTGCCAGATCCTAATGCTGGTGTGTGTTGTGATCAGGTGCGGTCGTCTGACGCGTCGTGGTCTGACACCCGGCGTAACCTGCGTAAGGACCACCGCTGGGAGTCAGCCTCTCTGCTGGAGAGAGATGAGAAGGAGAAACTGTTCAACGAACACGTGGAGGCGCTCTCCAAGAAGAAGAAGGAGAACTTCAGACAGCTACTGGACGAGACCGTCATGGTGAGGGACAACGTTTGGGCTGGTGTTACGCTCTCATTACAGGGCATATGTACACCGACACGGCTTCTTTTAAATGTAAACTCACTGCAGTCCATCTGTGTATGAACACGCTGCCGATATAAAGGTGTCACTGTAAACCTCAAGTCATATCCTGTATGCATGTCATTCAGATACAGCGTATTACCCTGTGAGGAATGACTTGGTAGTACGTGCTTTGATTGACTGTTTGCCACAGATCACACTGACCACCACATGGAAGGAGGTAAAGAAGATCATTAAAGAGGACCCTCGCTGTATCAAGTTCTCCAGTAGTGACAGAGTAAGACCTTTCTCTTTTACGTTACTGTCTACTGGTTGTTTCAGCTACCCATGTCCCCCGTTGACACCAGGCAAAGACGCTGAGGGGTTTGTCTTCTTTTGATTTGTAGAAAAAACAGAGGGAGTTTGAAGACTACATCAAAGACAAGTACATCACAGCCAAAGCTGACTTCAGAACACTTCTGAAAGAGACCAAGTTCATCACGTACAGGTGAGTACAGCAACACGGGCTGGATTTTGACATTCTTTCACTGGTAGCTGAGGGAATAAGGTTCCAATTGACATGTATCATAAGTTGGTTCATTTTAATGGCATTTATACTAGAGTTTTAAACAATTGCTCGATCGATTTTGAGTCAGTAGGAGGTGCTATTGGTCCATCTGTACTGCTGCTTTACTGACTCCTCCCCCCATTTTTGTCCTCCTCTCAGGTCGCGGAAGTTGCTCCTGGAGTCTGAGCAGCACCTGAAGGACGTGGAGAAGGTTCTGCAGAACGACAAGCGTTACCTGGTGCTGGACTGTGTCCCGGATGAGAGGAGAAAACTCCTCATGTTCTACATGGAGGACCTGGACCGCCGTGGTCCCCCTCCTCCCCCCACCGCCTCGGAGCCCACGCGGCGCTCCACCAAGTGACATCAGAGCATCAACTAGCCCTGCACCTGTTCTAGTGCAGCATTCAAACTGTGGTAAACCTGGAACCATCCATCCCTGTATTTATTAAAGCATCATTAGTGCAGCGCTGTGGCTCTCCTCTCCTGCCCACGGGGCCTGACTACTGTAACCCCTGACATCTGACCTTCGGCTCAGCTGAGGTCAAAGGGATAGGCGTAGTAATGCATCTGTGGTTTTCAATCTGCTGCAGCCACCTATGACATATAAGACAACGATGTAAATGATGAATTCTGCTGTTTCTGTGACTCAAGGTATTGCAGGCCTTAGTAACTGTTTTGAGTGCGTCGTTGACCTCTACCAACTCACAGTACAGTTTGAATGTTAACGTTTCTTCTCAGTGGTTTAATTTTGATGCGTCGCTTTTTCTGTACATGTTTACTGGAATAAAGGCAACTTTTTTTTTTTTACAATGTAGTCCTGTGATATGTTAATGGTTCAACATTTTAGATACATTTTCTCAACTCCATTCCTGGGATCACTGAGCCCATAATAAAGACATGAATATTTAGGTGTACCTATTTTTTATTTGACATTTTGTATTTGTTTTTTATATAAAAAAAAAAATTGAACAAAAAGCTTGCTACATTGTTTTAATCAATACTACCCAGTAACATATGTTCCTCTGCACGTTTGTTTTAAAACCTTCATGAAGAGAAATAATAAATAAGTGAAGAGGGGGCCAGGAGAAGAGGTCAAAAGGTGTCAAGCGCACCATCTCTAGCGTCTGGGCATGTCATCTCAGGGATGCAAAGGTTATGAGTTCATCTCCCCAATGCAAAGCTTCTAAGGAACAAAAACAAGTATCATTCCTGCTTTTATGTGCATAACAAACTACAGCAACAACTTAGAGGGAGAAAATTGTAAAATGGAAAGACAAAATAGATGACAGCCATCGTTTTTGAGTGTTCTGGATACAACAGAGGGCAACCCTGGATTTACAACAACATGGGTGCAAGTCTCAGAGCTGCAAAGCTGTCAGTGTCTCGTCACAAGTTGCAGTGCGGCCAGAGATTCTCAGCCTTGCGTCCCTCTCCCAGTCCCCCAGCCAGGGGGCGCTCTGCTGGTCTGTGCTGCTCTGCTCTCCAGCCATCCAACCTTAGTTGACCTTGTCTTGGAATATGTAGAGGTTGTTGGTGGCGGCCACGGCGATGATGTTCTCAGAGGGGTGCCAGGCGGTGTGCAGGATCTTCTTGCTGAAATCCAGGCTGTCCACGCTGATCTCGTCCTTACGTCTCTTACCCCCCACACACACCTTCCTGGGCTTCAGGATGGCCCGGGGCTTGCTGTTCTCCCTCGATGCCTCCAGGGTCACGTCACGCTTGGTGTTGCGGTCGAACATGCGGAAGAAGTTGTTGTACGAGCCGGTCATGATCACACTGCGGAGAGAGTGGCGGTTAAAAGTGAAGATGCTGCAACACATCAATCCCATTTATCCAACCTTATCTACTCATACATCCACTGACATCAATCCTAATACTGTCACTGACCTGTCAGACCCGTTCCAGACACATTCAAATTTGTCGAAGATGCAGTCGTTCTCATACAGGGAGCACAGCTTACTCCTCAGGTAGTCATGAACCTGGAAGAGAAAATCCATTGAGGTATTTTCCAGAGCCATATGTTTAGATAAATACAGTGAATTCGGAGAGTATTGAGACCCCTTGACTTATTCCACATTTTGTTACGTTACAGCCTTATTCTAAAATGGATGAATTTTTATTTATTTTTCATCATCAATCTACACACAATACCCCATAATGACAGCATAAACAAGTTTTTAGAAATTTTAGCAAATGTATTAAAAACAAAAAACTGAAATTTACATTCAGTACCAGTCAAAAGTTTGGACACCTACTCGTTCAAGGGTTTTTCTTTATTTTTACTATTTTCTACATTGTAGAATAATAGTGAAGACATCAAAACTACGAAATAACACATGGAATCATGTAGTAACCAAAAAAAAGTGTTAAACAAATCTAAATATATTTTATATTTGAGATTCTTCAAATAGCCACCCTTTGCCTTGATGACAGCTTTGCACACTCTTGGCATTCTCTCAACCAGCTTCATGAGGTAGTCACCTGGAATGCATTTCAATTAACAGGTGTGCCTTGTTAAAAGTTAATTTGTGGAATTTCTTTCCTTCTTAATGCATTTGAGCCAATCAGTTGTGTTGTGACAAGGTAAGGGTGGTATACAGAAGATAGCCTTATTTGGTAAAAGACCTAGTCCATATTATGGCAAGAACAGCTCAAATAAGCAGAGAAATGACAGTCCATCATTACTTTAAGACATGAAGGTCAGTCAATCCGGACCATTTCAAAAACGTTGAAAGTTTCTTCAAGTGCAGTCGCAAAAACCATCAAGCGCTATGATGAAACTGGCTCTCATGAGGACCACCACAGGAAAGGAAGACCCAGAGTTACCTCTGCTGCAGAGGATAAGTTCATTAGAGTTACCAGCCTCAGAAATTGCAGCTCAAATAAATGCTTCACAGAGTTCAAGTAACAGACACATCTCAACATCAACTGTTTAGAGGAGACTGTGTGAATCAGGCCTTCATGGTCGAATTGCTGCAAAGGAACCACTACTAAAGGACACCAATAAGAAGAAGAGACTTGCTTGGGCCAAGCAACACGAGCAATGGACATTAGACCGGTGGAAATCTGTCTTTTGGTCTGATGAGTCCAAATGTGAGATTTTTGGTTCCAACCGCAGTGTCTTTGTGAGACGCAGAGTAGGTGAACGGATGATCTCCGCATGTGTATTTCCCACCATGAAGCATGGAGGAGGAGGTGTTATGGTGTGGGGGTGCTTTGCTGGTGACACTGTCAGTGATTTATTTAGAATTCAAGGCACACTTAACCAGCATGGCTACCACAACATTATGCCGCGATACGCCATCCCATCTGGTTTGCGCTTTGCGGGACTATCATTTGTTTTTCAACAGGACAATGACCCAAAACACACCTACAGGCTGTGTAAGGGCTATTTGACCAAGAAGGAGAGTGATGGAGTGCTTCATCAGATGACCTGGCCTCCACAATCACCCGACCTAACCCCAATGGAGATGGTTTGGGATGAGTTGGACCGCAGGGCAAAGGAAAAGCAGCCAACAAGTGCTCAGCATATGTGGGAACTCCTTCAAGACTGTTGGAAAAGCATTCCAGGTGAAGCTGGTTGAGAGAATGCCAAGAGTGTGCAAAGCTGTCATCAAGGCAAAGGGTGGCTACTTTGAAGAATCTAAAATATATGTTTTATTTGTTTAACACTTTATTGGTTACTACATCATTCCATATGTGTTATTTAATAGTTTTGATGTCTTCACTATTATTCTACAATGTAGAAAATAGTAAAAAGAAAAGAAAACCCCTGGAATAAGTAGGTGTGGCCAAACTTTTGACTGGTACTGTAAGTATTCAGACCCTTTACTCAGTACTTTGTTGAAGCACCTTTGTCAGCGATTACAGCCTCAAGTCTTCTTGGGTATGATGCTACAAGCTTGGCACACCTGTTTTGGGAAGTTTCTCCCATTCATCTCTGTCAGGTTGGATGGGGAGCGTTGCTGCACAGCTATTTTCTGGTCTCTCCAGAGATGTTCGATCGGGTTCAAGTCCGGGCTCTGGCTGGACCACTCAAGGACATTCAGAGACTTGTCCCGAAGTCACTCCTGTGTTGTCTTGGCTGTGTGCTTAGGGTCGTTGTCCTGTTGGAAGATGAACCTTTTCCCCAGTCTGAGGTCCTGAGCGCTCTGGAGCAGGTTTTCATCAAGGATCTCTCTGTACTTTGCTCCGTTCATCTTTCCCCCGAACCTGACTATTCTCCCAGTCCCTGCCGCTGAAAAACATCCCCACTGGATGATGCTGCTATCACTATGCTTCACTGTAGGGATGGTGCCAGGTTTCCTCCAGATGTGATGCTTGGCATTCAGGCCAAAGAGTTCAATCTTGGTTTCATCAGATCAGAGAATCTTGTTTATCATGGTCTGAGTCCTTTAGCTGCCTTTTGACAAACTCCAAGCGGGCTGTCGTGCCTTTACTGAGGAGTGGCTTCCGTCTGACCACTCTACCATAAAGGCCTGATTGGTGGAGTGCTGCAGAGATGGTTGTCCTTCTGGAGGGTGCTCTGGAGCTCTGTCAGAGTGACCATCGGGTTCTTGGTCACCTCCCTGACTAAGGCCCTTCTCCCTCGATTGCTCAGTTTGGCCGGACGGCCAGCTCTAGGAAGAGTCTTGGTGGTTCCAAACTTCTTCCATTAAAGAATGATGGAGGCCACTGTGTTCTCGGGGACCTGTAATGTTGCAGACATTTTTTGGTACCCTTCTCCAGATCTGTGCCTCGACACAATCCTGTCTCGGAGCTCTACGGACAATTCCTTCGACCTCATGGCTTGTTCTTTGCTCTGACATGCACTGTCAACTGTGGGACCTTATATAGACAGGTGTGTGCCTTTCCAAATCATGTCCAATCAATTGAATTTACCACAGGTGGACTCCAATCAAGTTGTAGAAACATCTCAAGGATGATCAATGGAAATAGGATGCATCTGAGCTCAATTTCAAGTCTCATAGCAAAGGGTCTGAATAATTATGTAAATTAGGTATTTCTGTTTTTTATTTTTAATACATTTGCAAACATTTCAAAAACCTGTTTTCACTTTGTCATTATGGGGTATTGTGTGTAGATTGATGGGGATTTTTATTGAATGAATCCCTTTTATAATAAGGCTGTAACGTAACAAAGTGTGGAAAAAGGGAAGGGGTCTGAATACTTTCCGAATGCACTGTATATGGCTCTGGTATTTTCCATTGCATAATTCTTTTGGAACCCAACAAGAATGTGCAGAAATCGTTCAAAACGATGTGTGATCTATGGTGTATCAAGGTCTTGGCACATACAGAACAGTGACGAGGGAGTGGTATACTCTACCTGGTAGGTCTCCAGAGGTTTGCTCTCCATGTTGAGGTCCCACACCTTGACCGTGAGGTAGTCCCGTGTGATCAGGTAGCGGCCACTGTGGCTGAACTTAACGTCTGAGATGGATGAGATGATCTCGGAGAAGAAGGAGCGGTTACTGGGGTCCTCTGGCTCCTCGAACACTGCAGGTGGAACAGACAGAGGAACAGGCCGTGTTAACATCTGGCCCAAAAAGACTGGATGAGCAACTCTCTCTGGCTCACAGCTTCAGTTAATTTATGAATCACTTTCACACTGCACCAGATGCTGTATGCCATTGGCTGGCTCTGCTAAACAACCGCTAAATATGCAAAGGGAAAAGACAGAAATTATAAATCTATCACTGCTAAATAGTTGCAGAGAACCATTTCTCATGCTAGCAGACATTTATTCCTCAGTAAAAAAGTAATTAACGGTCATATTGTTCAATGCAAACACGTCATTAATACATAATTATTCACTTATGTGAACTGATAATCCATGTTTCTTGTTTATGAGTCGATCCATATCCACTGGGGCCTCTCAAACAGGCTGATGACTGATTTGAAATGCAAATGCGGCTTTTAACAGGCAATTGTTAAACACACAAGTACTGTGAGCTTATTTAAGATATTAAATGCAAGATATATGTGCCAATGAAAGACTATAATAAGGCTGTGTGTTTGTTCCCTGCTTAACCTCCTGTCTGTCTATGATCTGACAATGTGTTCAGCAGGGTGGAAAAGGATGATTTGGGGTTTAGGGACAGTGCCTTGACTAACCTTGAAACATCAATATCACTGTGGGTGAGTGTGGGGATTTGGATAAACTCAGAGCCATGAAGGAATACACACTGCCTCCTGTCGACTTTTGGTCCACCATTTAAATAGAACTAGTACATGGAAAGATGCCAAAAACCACTGGAGGAAAAAAAATCGATAAAATCCCACTTGGCTTCATTGCGCTCTCTGTTTCCTTTCATTTCCATTTCAACAATCTTATTTTCCAATAATGCCTTACAGAAACAAGTCCACCTGCAGCTTAGTATCAGTTCGACTAAATATAGCATGCAAGAAATTCATTCCCCAACCACTGTGCCAGGACTCACCTGGGTCCCATCACACAAATACTAATTAGATGACTAAGTGGCAATTAGAAAGAAGTAGAGAGACACTGTTAAAATGGAGGAATGAGGGCTTCAGAGCCTACGATAACCCCAGTGCTTATACTTAGGGCTAAGAGTTTTTCTGATCATGTGACCTGACCAGTACAGGGACAACTCGGGCCCAGAGGTGCTCCTAGTCAACTAAAAACTCCTGGCTCTTATCATGGAGCCTGCTGGCAATACTCAGTATATGAGTGGTTTGGGGTGCGGCGGAGGCAGCCTTACATTTGGAGTGGTTGTCACACAGTGCTGAGGCCCTCATGTCACACAGGCGGATGGAGCCCTTGCTGCTGCTGTAGACGAAGGTGTTACACTGGTTGGGTTGGAACTCCGCTGCCGTAATCACCTCCGTCAGCTCCTCCATGTTAGTCGGCTTGATGTCCACAATGTCTGAGGTGTTGCGGTGAAGGAACTCAACCACATAGAAAAGTACTGAAGCAATTCACAGCTCTTCAGTTTGAGACTTTAAACTAACTATTGGACAAAAAAACCATAGCAACCCATTAGAAGAGTAAGCAACAACAAAACAATCATGAAAAAGAAAGCTTGAGAAAAAAATATGACTTCAAAAATGTCAGATAACAGCAAAAACAGCGCTGGTCGGAGTGAGGGAAATGACAGCAGATCCATCAGCGAGAACTGAGGAGAGAGGCTGGTTAGCCAGCAGCACTGTGATTGTTAGAGTAACGAGGCTCAGTAAATAAGAAGCTCAATATGTGCTCAGGGCCCCAAAGCTCAGTGATCCATTCTGCTGTCCATAGGGCATCTCATCTGTGATCCGCAGGGAACCTCAAAGTGAAAATCAATATTAATCAATGGGGATGTGCTCCTGTTTAAATATTACCTCGTTGGCTTCTGGGAGGGGATGCAGATGACTGACAGACAGACACAGACAGAAGAAAATAAATACATTCCAAAGTGAGACAATCTCTTAATATGAGCTCCTTTGCCATCGGTCTAGCCATCTGTGTTTGTTGAGAGAAGGATACTGAAACTTCGGTTGGTGATCTCCAGGTTCCACAGGTTAATTCTCAGGTCATCTGTGGACATGTAGGTCTCGTAGTCGCTGTTCACAGAGATGGAGTTGATGTGGTACGTGTGGGCATTGGAGAACACTCGCCTGGGAGTGGCTTCCACCATCAGGTCCATGGGCTGCAGCACTGGTACCTGGAAGAGAGAGAGATGGAGGGAATAAGAAAAATGAATGTTAAACATCAAATCAGCCATGTATTCCACAGCCAGTGATTCAGTGCAGTATTTCAATATGGGCTGTTCGTGCCTACAGCCATAATGAGTAACCCCATGTTCTCACAGGGAGTAGGGGCCCTTAATTACGACAAATCTCAGCCAGGGCCCCTACACACCCGCCACATCGCAAGGGGCCGCCACAGAGACCCAGACCCCAAACTGGGCCCATTCCTCGACAAATGTTCCAGATTTTGCCTCGAATACTCCTCGCAATTTAGACTAACGTAATGCCGACTCAGGGGAATCAGCAGGAGGCTTGTGCTGATGCCACACTATCATTATCTCTCTATGTGAAGACTCTTAATCAGGTTTGTAGGGTCTCCTTGCTCGCACACACCTTTTCAGTTCTGCCCACAAATGTTCCATAGGATTGAGGTCAGGGCTTTGTGATGGCCATTCCAATACCTTGACTTTGTTGTCCTTAAACTATTTTGCCACAACTTTGGAAGTATGCTTGGGGTCATTGTCCATTTGGAAGACCCATTTGTGACCAAGCTTTAACGTCCTGACTGATGTCTTGAGATGTTGCTTTAATATATCCACATAATTTTCCTTTCTCATGATGCCATCTATTTTGTGATGTGCACCAGTCCCTCCTGCAGCAAAGCACCCCCACAGCATGATGCTGCCACCCCCGTGCTTCACGGTTGGGATGGTGTTCTTCGGATTGCAAGCGACCCCCTTTTTCCTCCAAACATAACGATGGTCATTATGGCCAAACAGTTATATTTTTGTTTCATTCAGGTTATGTCGATATAGGACTGGTTTACTGTGGATATAGATACTTTGTACCTGTTTCCTCCAGCATCTTCACAAGGTCATTTGCTGTTGTTCTGGGATTGATTTGCACTTTTCGCACCAAAGTACGTTCATTTCTAGGAGCCAGAACGCGTCTCCTTCCTGAGCGGAATGACGGCTGCATGGTCCCATGGTGTTTATACTTGCGTACTATTGTTTGTACAGATGAACGTGGTACCTTCAGGCGTTTGGAAATTGCTCTCAAGGATGAACCAGACTTGTGGAGGTCTACAATTTTGTTTCCTGAGGTCTTGGCTGATTTCTTTTGATTTTCCCATAATGTCAAGCAAAGAGGCACTGAGTTTGAAGGCAGGCCTTTAAATACATCCACAGGTACACCTCCAATTAACTCAAATTATGTCAATTAGCCTATAAGAAGCTTCTAAAGCCATGACATAATTTTCTGGAATTTTCCACAATGTTTAAAGGCACAGTCAACTTACTGTATGTAAACTTCTGACCCACTGGAATTGTGATACAGTGAAATATAAGTGAAATAATCTGTCTGTAAACAATTGTTGGAAAAATTACTTGTGTCATGCACAAAGTAGATGTCCTAACCGACTTGCCAAAACTATAGTTTGTTAACAAGACATTTGCGGAGTGGTTGAAAAACGAGTTTTAATGACTCCAACCTAAGTGTATGTAAACTTCCGACTTCAACTGTATGTATATAATCTTAATTCCATTCCTTACTTAGATTTGTGTGTATTGGGTATATGTTGTGAAATTGTTAGATATTTACTTGTTAGATATTACTGCACTGTCGGAGCTAGAAGCACAAGCATTTCGCTACACCTGCAATAACATCTGCTAAACACGTGTATGTGACAAATAACATTTGATTTGAGAGGAGTGGGACATGTCCATTGATGTACGATAGCTTGTGACAGAGAGGGGTAGTGGGACATGTCCACTGATGTACACTCACTGCGGGGCGCATGCTTGGCTGACCATTATTGGGTATCTGTCTGACAGGGAACACAAACCATCTGTCAACGCCACACACACACACACACACACACAGACAGAGCCCAGCCTGGCACAGCACAGCCAATGTGATGATCAGATATGAGTCTGCTACCATTATGAGTGTCTCTCCCCACCACAGCACAGCCACACCATCACACAGCGGGAGGTGGAGGAGGAACACGCTGCAGAGACTGCTGAGGTCATTAACTCATACATCAACATCTGCTTCTCAGATGATGCAGCCAGTGCTGAGGGGAGCTGCTTAAGTCTAGTTATTACTCAATAGAAAGACCTGGGCATGAATCAAGCCAAGCGGGTGATATGTTCACTTAAGATTGGATAGGAGACGCATAGCAAACCCAGCCTCAACCCAAATGGATAGTAAATCCTCCTTCAAGTGTACCGTCTCACCCTAAACCCCCAGAGGATCTGAGGAGGAGGAGGAGGATCGACAGGGTTACGCATGGTAGTAAGCAGTGGACATTATCAATAACATTGATCCCGTATTTGTCCCACCACTGAGGGGTCACTTAGGGTTAAGTGTAGTCAATAAGGTCTCCTGCAGGCCAGGGTGATGGGACAGACTGACAGTGAATTCTGCCTCCTCTCTGATGGGTGACATCATGTTTCCTCTCAGAGTGACTGACAGCCAGGAAGCCCAATCATCTGTGAGCCTGGGAGTCTCCAACTGACCAGTCCTGGAACACTGTCCCTCCCTCCCACCAGCTTGTTCCCAGTCCATGATGTTTCACAAAACAAATCAAATTTTATTTGTCACATGCGCCGAGTACAACAGGTGTAGTCATGGTCAAAAGTTTTGAGAATGACACAAATACTAATTTTCACAAAGTCTGCTGCCTCAGTTTTGATTATGGCAATTTGCATATACTCCAGAATGTCATGAAGAGTGATCAGATAAGTTGCAATTAATTGCAAAGTCCCTCTTTGCCATGAAAATGAACTTAATCCCAAAAAACATTTCCACTGCATTTCAGCCCTGCCACAAAAGGACCAGCTGCCATCATGTCAGTGATTTTCTTGTTAACACAGGTGAGAGTGTTGACGAGGACAAGGCTGGAGATCACTCTGTCATGCTGATTGAGTTAGAATAACAGACTGGAAGCTGTTCTTCCTCTGTTAACCATGGTTACCTGCAAGGAAACACGTGCCGTCATCATTGCTTTGCACAAAAAGGGCTTCACAGGCAAGGATATTGCTGCTAGTAAGATTGCACCTAAATCAACCATTTATCGGATCATCAAGAACGTCAAGGAGAGAGGTTCAATTGTTGTGAAGAAGGCGTCAGGGCGCCCAAGAAAGTCCAGCAAGCGCCAGGACCGTCTCCTAAAGTTGATTCAGCTGCGGGATCGGGGCACCACCAGTGCAGAGCTTGCTCGGGAATGGCAGCAGGCAGGTGTGAGTGCATCTGTACGCACAGTGAGGCGAAGACTTTTGGAGGATGGCCTGGTGTCAAGAAGGGCAGCAAAGAAGCCACTTCTCTCCAGAAAAAACATCAGGGACAGACTGATATTCTGCAAAAGGTACAGGGATTGGACTGCTGAGGACTGGGGTAAAGTCATTTTCTCTGATGAATCCCCTTTCCGATTGTTTGGGACATCCGGAAAACACCTTGTCCGGAGAAGACAAGGTGAGCGCTACCATCAGTCCTGTGTCATGCCAACAGTAAAGCATCCTGAGACCATTCATGTGTGGGGTTGCTTCTCAGCCAAGGGAGTGGGCTCACTCACATTTTTGCCTAAGAACACAGCCATGAATAAAGAATGGTACCAACACATCCTCCGAGAGCAACTTCTCCCAACCATCCAAGAACAGTTTGGTGACGACCAATGCCTTTTCCAGCATGATGGAGCACCTTGCCATAAGGCCAAAGTGATAACTAAGTGGCTCGGGGAACAAAATATCGACATTTTGGGTCCATGGCTAGGAAACTCCCCAGACCTTAATCCCATTGAGAACTTGTGGTCGATCCTCAAGAGGCGGGTGGCAAACAAAACCCCACAAATTCTGACAAACTCCAAGCATTGATTATGCAAGAATGGGCTGCCATCAGTCAGGATGTGGCCCAGAAGTTAATTGACAGCATGCCAGGGCGGATTGCAGAGGTCTTGAAAAAGAAGGGTCAACACTGCAAATATTGAGTCTTTGTATAAACTTAATGTAATTGTCAATAAAAGCCTTTGACACTTATGGAATGCTTGTAATTATACTTCAGTATACCATAGTAACATCTGACAAAAATATCTCATAACACTGAAGCAGCGAACTTTGTGAAGACCAATACTTGTGTCATTCTCAAAACCTTTTGACCACGACTGTAGACCTTACAGTGAAATGCTTACCTACAAGACCTTAACCAACAATGCAGTTTTAAGAAAAATAAGTATTAAGTAAAAAATGGATAAGTAAAAATAAAAAAAGAACAAATAGTCCGGGTAGCCATTTGATTAGCTGTTCTTATGGCTTGGGGGTAGAAGCTGTTAAGGAGCGTTTTGGACCTAGACTTGGCACTCCGGTACCGCTTGCCATGCGGTGGCAGAGAGAACAGTCTATAACTAGGGTGGCTGGAGTCTTTGGCAATTTTTAGGGCCTTCCTCTGACACCGCCTGGTATAGAGGTCCTGGATCGCAGGAAGCTTGGCCCCAGTGATGTACTGGGCCGTACGCACAACCCTCTGTAGTGCCTTGCGGTTGGAGGCCGAGCAGTTGCTATACCAGGCGGTGATGCAACCAGTCAGGATGCTCTCGATGGTGCAGCTGTAAAACTTTTTGTGGATCTGAGGACCCATGCCAAATCTTTTCAGTGCCCTCTTCACGACTGTCTTGGTATGCTTGGACCATGATAGTTTGTTGGTGATGTGGACACCAAGGAACTTGAAGCTCTCAACCTGCTTCACTACAGCCCCGTCGATGAGAATGGGGCGTGCTCGGTCCTCCTTTTCCTGTAGTCCACAATCATCTCCTTTGTCTTGATCACGTTGAGGGAGAGGTTGTTATCCTGGCACTACACGGCCAGGTCTCTGACCTCCTCCCTATAGGCTGTCTCATCGTTGTCGGTGATCAGGCCTACCACTGTTGTGTCGTCTGCAAACGTAATGATGGTGTTGGAGTCGTGCTTGGCCATGCAGTCATGGGTGAACAGGGAGTACAGGAGGGGACTGACCATGCACCCCTGAGGGGCCCCCCGTGTTGAGGATCAGTGTGGCAGATGTGTTGTTACCTACCCTTACCACCTGGGGGCGGCCCGTCAGGAAGGCCAGGATCCAGTTGCAGAGCGAGGTGTTTAGTCCCAGGGTCGTTAGCTTAGTGATGAGCTTTGAGGGCACTATGGTGTTCCATCTCTCAGGCGTAATGTGATTCCTATTGATTTCCAAAGGCTGCGTTGTGTAAGGGTCAATTTGGATCCAGAGTGGAAAATAAAAGCATGAAGAGAGAAGGATGATTGGGCTGAGCCAGGGGTCCAAATATTGATATAGTTTCTGCACCGTTCACTTCTCTCCTAAATCAATATGATATTTCCTGAGGAGGTTTGAGGACTCTGAGCTCTTGGACAAAGGAAAATGTGTCTATTTCAGTTATATATATATATAAATAAGAGAGTGGTGAAGAAAAGGGAGAGGATCCAATTTCAATGGTTGTTCTGGGTTGTTCTTTCATGTATCACGATGATGATGAACATTTGTATTTTGGGGTGTATATAAAGAACAGAAAACAAGCCACTGTTTGCACCATATATAATCTGGGATGGTATCATGGTCTTATCATCTGAAAGCTGCCATTAGAGCTGATACGAAAATGTAACTAACATCCGACGGTCTGTGTATCCATGGAGATGGGGGTGATATTTGATTAGGGCTGGACGATATGGCCTAAAACACATATCTATATTTTTTTAAGCTTATGGGCGATTCACAATGTATATATATATATACAGTGGGGAAAAAAAGTATTTAGTCAGCCACCAATTGTGCAAGTTCTCCCACTTAAAAAGATGAGAGAGGCCTGTAATTTTCATCATAGGTACAAGTCAACTATGACAGACAAAATGAGAAAAAAAAATCCAGAAAATCACATTGTAGGATTTTTAATGAATTTATTGGCATATGATGGTGGAAAATAAGTATTTGGTCACCTACAAACAAGCAAGATTTCGGCTCTCACAGACCTGTAACTTCTTCTTTAAGAGGCTCCTCTGTCCTCCACTCGTTACCTGTATTAATGGCACCTGTTTGAACTTGTTATCAGTATAAAAGACACCTGTCCACAACCTCAACAGTCACACTCCAAACTCCACTATGGCCAAGACCAAAGAGCTGTCAAAGGACACCAGAAACAAAATTGTAGACCTGCACCAGGCTGGGAAGACTGAATCTGCAATAGGTAAGCAGCTTGGTTTGAAGAAATCAACTGTGGGAGCAATTATTAGGAAATGGAAGACATACAAGACCACTGATAATCTCCCTCGATCTGGGGCTCCACGCAAGATCTCACCCCGTGGGGTCAAAATGATCACAAGAACGGTGAGCAAAAATCCCAGAACCACACGGGGGGACCTAGTGAATGACCTGCAGAGAGCTGGGACCAAAGTAACAAAGCCTACCATCAGTAACACACTACGCCGCCAGGGACTCAAATCCTGCAGTGCAAGATGTGTCCCCCTGCTTAAGCCAGTACATGTCCAGGCCCGTCTGAAGTTTGCTAGAGTGCATTTGGATGATCCAGAAGAGGATTGGGAGAATGTCATATGGTCAGATGAAACCAAAATATAACTTTTTGGTAAAAACTCAACTCGTCGTGTTTGGAGGACAAAGAATGCTGAGTTGCATCCAAAGAACACCATACCTACTGTGAAGCATGGGGGTGGAAACATCATGCTTTGGGGTGTTTTTCTGCAAAGGGACCAGGACGACTGATCCGTTTAAAGGAAAGAATGAATGGGGCCATGTTTCATGAGATTTTGAGTGAAAACCTCCTTCCATCAGCAAGGGCATTGAAGATGAAACGTGGCTGGGTCTTTCAGCATGACAATGATCCCAAACACACCGCCCGGGCAACGAAGGAGTGGCTTCGTAATAAGCATTTCAAGGTCCTGAGAGTGGCCTAGCCAGTCTCCACATCTCAACCCCATAGAAAATCTTGGAGGAGTTGATGAAGTCCGTGTTACCCAGCGACAGCCCAAAAACCTCACTGCTCCTAGAGTGAGAGTGCATGGAGGAATGCGGGCAAAATACCAGCACAGTGTGTGAAAACCTTGTGAAGACTTACAGAAAACGTTTGACCTGGTCATGCCCAACAAAGGGTATATAACAAACGTCTTGGAGAAACTTTTGTTATTGACCAAATACTTATTTTCCACCACAATTTGCAAATAAATTCATTAAAAATCCTACAATGTGGATTTTCTGGATTTTTTTTTCTCAATTTTGTCTGTCATAGTTGACGTGTACCTATGATGAAAATTACAGGCCTCTCTCATCTTTTTAAGTGGGAGAACTTGCACAATTGGTGGCTGACTAAATACTTTTTTCCCCCACTGTATATATATATATATATATATATATATATATATATATATATTCTTAAAATGTTTTCTCTAAATAAGCTTTGTTGTACAATTAAAAGGTCAAATACACTGCATTTCAAACAGTCAGCAATAATCTAATGAATTCAGAGATTGTGAAATTATACCTAGGCTGAATATATGCCTTCCACAACCATAAAACCCACTAATAATTTAATTATTTTAGCTAAATAGTTGTACCTGCTTTTTTTGCAATAATCACTGATCTGGCTTTCAGGTCTGTCTATAAAAATGCCCTTTTTGTTACAAATCTAACCAGAACCATACATAATGACACATTCACTAATAATGTAGCAGGCATTTTAGAAAATTAACACCTGTCTCATAAACAATCTCTCAAGCACAAGCCCACGTGCTAGTGAGTAGCAATATTTATATTTCAAGTTTATCCAACTTGGATCTAGGTATAATTTCACAAGCTCTGAATTCAGCTAACGAGGCAAAACAGTTGAATTGTAATGAACAGAACCTTCTGTGTGTCTCCAACTGTTTAAACAGCATGTTAGCCTGTCCACTTTGTTCAGATGAAATCAAGTGGCCTGCCTTATTTCTCAGAATGAGAATGAGTTGCCAATTCCTTATATAATTGTTTTATGCTTATTGCACGTTTATAAAACACACACTAAACAGCTAGTATAACAATCTTTGACTAAAATGCTGCTAGCAATACGTGGTACCGTAATGCGCGCACGACAAACTGAGCATTAACTTTCCAGAATGAATGTTCATTGGTGTCACGCCTATCCCGCTCCCCCGCTCGACGTCGCCGGTCTACTAACCACCGGTCCTGGCAGTCATCATTACGCACACCTGGACCTCATCATCACCTTGATTACTCTCCCTTTATTTAGCCCTCAGTAGCCTCAGTCATCAGGCAGTATTGGTTTTGTTCACATTCTGTATGCTTCTCCTGTTTTGTTGATCTTCATGCTTCTTCTTATTAAACTCACCTTCTGCACCTGCTTCCTGACTCCCCGCGTATACGTTACAATTGGTACATCCGTTTTAGTAGTGTTTCCTCTGCTCGAAATTTGAGGAGTTGAAACAAAAACAGGGTATGGTTCGAAAGGTTAACTTCTCCTCTATTACAGTAAAATAATGTCTCCATGTGTTTCGATGTCTATATGACTGATTCTGTTGGACCAAACCTCAAATGCAAATAGCGAGTTGAAACCGTTTGTCAGAGAGGAAGAAGTGATCACTCATCTTTGTTGTTGTGAGTGGTAGGGGGAGGGGCTTGGGAGAAAGAGGCTAAGCGAGAGGTTTCATTCTCGCCAAAATCTGTCCAAAATAAGCCCCCAATGCATTTCTATGGGCTTATTTTGAACCTAAGCTTGTCGCCTGCCTTCCCGCCTTTGGGACAACGACTCCCATTGTTAGGGCGAAGACATGAGCATCTCGTCATTATATACAGATCTCTGGTGTAAATGGGAAGGTGCACAGCACAGAAGGAGATGAGACCAAAAAGACAACATGAGAACCAGCGGACATAAACGCTCATAAAAATGAAAAATACACAAAACCTTGAATCTGCGATACAGGCATTTGGAATATCACGCAAAAACATTAATTAGAATGAATTGAATTAATTAGATATCGCCCAGCCCTATATTTGACACCATGCTGACCCCTGGGTACAGGCTGGTGTAGACAGACGGGTCACCCCAGGACCTGGCTAATGTGTGGTCAGCAGCATGGGCGCCTGGTGTCCCACCCCCATCTAAGAACCGGACACCCCCCTCCCCACCCCCACACTGACAGACACGTGCATTTGGCAAGATATGAAACCAGGCCAGTTACTTGAATCCCTCTGTGGCACTGGGAGAGATGGAGGCTTAGGCTGCCATAGGGAGATATAATGGCACAGGTTGCCAGAGGAAGGATGACAGACGCATTCAACATCTGTATGTAGCACTGCAAATGTGGGCACAGACATGCCCGGGCAGGCTGTGGTGACACTGTAGTGGGGGAAGGGTTGGCATCTTACCCGCAGGGCGGTGATGGTGGTGGGGTCTCGGATCCTCCCATCCTCGTCCTTCAGGTTGTAGCCCTCCGGTCTCTTGTCCCGCTCACTGACCTTCCACAGCTTCACTGTTTTATCTGCAGGGAGGAGAGGAGGAGGAGGAGGAGGAGGAGGAGGAGGAGGAGGAGGAGGAGGAGGAGGAGGAGGAGGAGGAGGAGGGGAGAGAGGGATGAGTAACAGCAGGCTTGGGATAGGCTAAAGGAAAGATGTGCTGTGCTGGCCTGGCTGGCTGGGGGAGATAGCTAGCTGTACTGTGGAGGGGATGGGGACTCAGTTGTCTGCTGTGCTGCTACAGTATTGGAAGCAGGCCAATGCGGAGGGTTGGCATGACATAAATAGATACGAGATATATCAGCTGAGATCAATAGCCTCCAATTCACCTGATTAAAGCCTCCTGATGCCAGCCCAGCTTGTTCCACTGATGTGTCCAAAGATAGCACTCTGCTCTTATAGGAGTCTGTCTGCTGATTCAAGATCCCCGTCTAATACATTTAGTGAAAGGCAAAAGGAAGGATACTGCAGTATTGTAAAGGTCACTTCCTGCCTCTGGTGGCACTTAACTCAACATAAAATAGCTGCTTGGCTAACGTCAATGGGCCATACAATGCAATAAATAATGTAATGGAGGTAATGGAACCATTAACATCGACTGGTCTAGTGAGCAGTTAGAGATGGTGATGTCACTAGAACGAACAGGAGTAGAAGGCGCTCCCACCAATGTGCAACCAAAAAAGAAATCACATGTTCCTTCCTAGATGTCACTAGGACTAGCAGTCTGGCTTGCCATTGGTGAAGAGGAGGAAGTGGCTCACCATTGGTGGAGAGGAGGAAGTTGCTCACCATTGGTGGAGAGGAGGAAGTGGCTCACCATTGGTGGAGAGGAGGAAGTGGCTCACCATTGGTGAAGAGGAGGAAGTGGCTCACCATTGGTGGAGAGGAGGAAGTAGGCAGCGTTCTGTTGAGGCAGCCATCGTATCTTGTTGATCTTCTCCTCGATCTCCAGGCTCTTCAGGTAGTCAAACTCAGGCTCGTGGCTCTGGAAGGTGCTGTAAACATTGTACTCCCCTCTCCTGTGGGGCTGGTTCTTACTCTGAAATAACAAGAAGAGTGTTTGAGTTTGTGGAAGATGTTCTGGTATTATTCAGGTCCTAAGACATGCACTGCGTGACCAAGTCACTACCCACTTTATATTCATTAAAAACTGTGTAAATCTATTATTACTACTACCTCTTCTACTACTTGTAATTTTGGACTCTTTTATTATTCATATTGCTATTGACTAATGTACTGCATTGTTGAGGGAGCTAGTACATTTGGTTGCACCTTTTATACCTGCTGTCAACTCTATGTGACTGATACCATTTGATTTGATTTATTTGATAGGCCAGTGTTTGAAGTTTGACAATATTTCAGCATGAGTATACAGAGGAGGGGTACATTCAATACAATGTGAGAGTGGGGATCGTCCTATTGGCATTGAATAGACAACATTGAGGAAACAGTGACCCAAGACGTGCCCAGCAGCAGATGTGTGATGGCCTGGTTTCTGCTTTCTATATTAAGCATACATACGGGAGGGGGTTGTCAAAACCCAGGAACTAACAAAGCATGGGGACTGTAGTATGTGGAGCAGTCACCAAAATCCCTCTCCGGCATCGTACGGGTTGACATAACTGCTGACGTAGTACAATCATTTTGCCTCCACATGGTAGAAATTCAAGAAATCAGGCAAAAGTGGTTTAAATCTATTGTAAGGTTGTCAGGATGTGTAGTCAGGGTGGCGTAGATAGCTCAATGGGAGCCCAGCAACCTAGCTTCAGCTCAGCCAACACGGCAGCTCAGGTCTCACCTCAGGTCTCACCTCAGGTCTCACCTCAGGTCTCACCTCAGGTCTCACCTCAGGTCTCACCTCAGGAAGCTTCAGCATCAATAGAGCCAAATCAGATGACCAAACAGGAGGGGAGGGTATTAATGGAAACAGATTTGCCCTCTGCGGGGGTAAAGACAGGGGAAGGGGGAGGAGGGGGGGAGACGGGAGCGCCTCTGGTGTGGGGATTAGTGGATACTATGGAGCGCCTCGGAATCAGCCGGAAGGAAAAATAAGGAAGAGGAGGATAAAGGAAGGAGAGTTTCATGCAGTCATCCCTGACATTCATGTTTTCACCACAGACAGACAGAAGATTCAGACGCTGTCTAGTCCTTTCATCCAGCTTCCATAGGAGATGCTATATGCTTCCCAGAGTCGCCCGTAATCTCTCCATAATACCTCCTACAACCATTGAATAAACACCCACAGCCTTTCAACACCACTAATACTACACAGTTACCCAGGGAATGTAACTGTAACGCCATCAATGAATGGTAATGAATGTGGCGAGGATGTTATTTCATTAAAAGGTTCAGTATAGATTCATTAGCTAGATCAGCCTTTCCCAAACTCGGTCCTCGGGACCCCAAGGGGTGCACGTTTTGGTTTTTGCCCTAACACTACATGGCTGATTCAAATGATCAAAGCTTGATGATTAATTTATTATTTGAATCAGTTGTGTAGTGCTAGGGCAAAAACCAAGACGTGCACCCCTTGGGGTCCCCAGGACCAAGTTTGAGAAACCCTGAGCTAGATGTCGAATGGTTAGTGCAGGGCTTTCCAACCCTGTTCCTGGAGAGCTACTGTCCTGTAGGTTTTCACTCCAACCCTAATCTAGCACACCTGATTCTAATAATTAGCTGGTTGATAAAATGAACCAGGTTAGTTACAACTGGGGTTGGAGCGAAAACTTACACGAGGGTAGCTCTCCGGGAACAGGGTTGGAGAGCCCTGCGTTAGTGACCAGAGTACCAGGATGTGAGAGACATGAGGAGTAGGGGTGTCTGGGCCGCTCTTACCTCCCGTTCTCTCTGGAACACCACTACTCTCCCACCCTTGTCCCCCGTCGCCAGCAGCTCTCCAGTTGGGTTGAACTCAACCGTGGATATGATGTCAGCTGGAACAGAAAACAGCACGTTACCTCACTGAGATACACAATACGACAGTAAAGTACATTGCCCACCTACTGTATGCCTGAGCGAGTCATGTTCCGTTTCCTTAATCTCATTGACAACCGTGAAATCTATTTTCAAAACCCAGCTATGTGAAATTAAAGTGTTTAATGACTTGAAATAGGTAGGGCAAGAAGCAGAGTGCAGTGAAAAGGTCTACTTTCATGTGATCCTGAAGTCTTTGAAGGCCTGCTCAGATAGCGTGTCTGTGGATGGGATCAATTACGTGTGCTGCTAGCCTACCTCAGGGCTGATGAAAGACCAGACCTGGGCCAGCACTACAACAAACTGCAGTCTTCACAATATTACTACCCCCCCCCCCCCCCCCCCCCCCCCCCCAGCCCCTTAGCCCCTCTGTCACCACCCCATTCATATGCAAAACCCTCTCACACATCTCCCAGACACACACCAGATCTGTACAATAACATGGCATGGTGGACCTGGAGAATTATACAGAGAGATAGCCTGCTGCTTCCCTCTGCGGCAGGGAATCGTTCACAATAGGTTGCCACAACTCAATCGCATGAGATCAGATACAAATTACAGCTTTGCTTCCATACGTCGCACACTCGGAGCACTCCATTCTGTGGTTGACAGTGAAATTGCATTAGAGCCACCCCACACCCCCTCGCTCTCTCTACAATATTAAAGATGATAGATAAATGCTACACTCATGTTCATATATAGGGATGGAGGACAGCGTCAGCCTTTCCAGACCCCAACAGAGTGGCCAGGAGGCCAACAGTTAACAATGATCCAGAACTATTATTATTATTATCTCTGAGAAACATACTGAACTTCAGAGAAGCCACGAAGACAACACTAACAGACATGTGTGTGTGTGTGTGTGTGCGCGACACAAACGTCTCAATTAACCCATCTCTATTTTAGGGGCTTAGAGAAATGGCAAAGGAAGCTGCCATTGTTGGCTTTCTTGCTCTGTGATGAGGACTATCTAACCCACAGAGGAAAGTCGAGGACTATCTAACCCACAGAGGAAAGTCGAGGACTATCTAACCCACAGAGGAAAGTCGAGGACTATCTAACCCACAGAGGAAAGTCGAGGACTATCTAACCCACAGAGGAAAGTCGAGGACTATCTAACCCACAGAGGAAAGTCGAGGACTATCTAACCCACAGAGGAAAGTCGAGGACTATCTAACCCACAGAGGAAAGTCGAGGACTATCTAACCCACAGAGGAAAGTCGAGGACTATCTAACCCACAGAGGAAAGTCGAGGACTATCTAACCCACAGAGGAAAGTCGAGGACTATCTAACCCACAGAGGAAAGTCGAGGACTATCTAACCCACAGAGGAAAGTCGAGGACTATCTAACCCACAGAGGAAAGTCGAGGACTATCTAACCCACAGAGGAAAGTCGAGGACTATCTAACCCACAGAGGAAAGTCGAGGACTATCTAACCCACAGAGGAAAGTCGAGGACTATCTAACCCACAGAGGAAAGTCGAGGACTATCTAACCCACAGAGGAAAGTCGAGGACTATCTAACCCAGAGTCACAGAGGAAAGTAGGACAATCTGGGATGTTTAATTAAGGCAACCCCTCACTAGGGAGAGTCGATGAGCTGCGACACTACGGAGGAATTTAGGAGCAGATGCTCTTTCCTCTGTCTGTCTTGTCTGTCTTGTCTGTCTGTGTAAACAACCTGCTACCATACCAGTGCCACCACTACTCCCACTACAACTCACTGTTCACATTAACAGCCTCTCAAGAGTCTCCGACTCCCCGCCCCTCTCTTGACTCAACATGCAATTTACCAACCTGGAAGAAGACAAAGAGCCTGTATTGCTGTGTATAGGAGTGTTGTATAGGAGTGTATGTACTGCTGGGTGTTTGTGCATTCTGCAGCAGTAAGCTCTGCCATGCCAGCCAGCAGAGGGGATTTGTTTCTAAATGGCTGTGAGTCTATTATGCATAACCCTCCTCACCCCAAACACCCAGTCTATCCATGAACATCCTCTCTGTCTCCGTCTCCTCATCTAACCTTGTAGTTCTCCATCTGCCCACGTTACACACAACCAAAATAACCCGACACTTAGCTACCCAACATGACCTGTGGACTGAACACACCAAACAATGGATTCAGGTCATCCAGAACTGAGATGTCGCACGTAGAATATCTAGTTCTATCATTGTGCGGTTAAGAGAATTCAACTGGCATGCCTAGAATGGAAGGAAGTAGTTTTTTTAGCTGAAAAACAAACAAGTCGATCTTGAGTTTCCCCTCAAGCAGATTGTGGTCGATCGATTCCTACCTTTGACACATCTTCCCTGGTCTTCCTCTAGCAGATGCATCTGTACCTGCCTGGGTACACTGTTGCTATGCAATCCTCTCAGAGATAATGGTACACACTCAGCCTAGTGGGCTGTGGCTCACGCTCTCATTCGCAGGTATAATTGTATTGTTCCAGCGTCTCTTTAGACCTGAAGAGACAAGTCCTCACACACACACACACACACACACACACACTCGCTAACAGAGTGCTAAACCGGCAGAGCTCGGTCCTGATTTGAATAATTAACATTAAACCAAGCAAACAAACAAGACAAAGCTTTTAAATAATTATGTATTTTTCCAGGAGCAGCATGTCAGAAAGAGAGAGAGACAGAAAGAAAAAGAGGTGATAGATGTGTTTTGTGTGTTTAAAAGACAGAGAGACAAACAAAGAGTGAAATAGAGAGAGGGAGAGTGAAGAAGAGGGGGAGAGAGATGAGCAGGAGAGGGAAGAGGAGTGAAACGTAGGCGTGTCCAGTCATTCGCTCCCTTTCGCTCTCCTTGCTCCTCGCTGGTCGTCTTTGCCCGCGCTTCTTTCGCTTCTCGGCTCATGCCGCCTTCCCGCATCTGCCGCCGTGTGCTCATTTCAGTTTCCCCGCTCTTCTCTTCGCTGCTCGAGTTTCCCTGCGATGTCAGTGCTGTACGTGACGTCTTTCCTCGCTTTCTCTCTCTTCCCCCTTCGCGTAAGCCGTTTCCCTCTGACGTCTTCTGACTCCCTCGCTCATGCAACGTTGCCTCAGCGCCTGCGTGCCTCATTTTCCGCCCATTTCGTCCTGAGCGAGTGGGATGTCCCGCGCGGGACTCGCTCCGCGCGGCTGGCGATCACGCGGGCGGCTCTTGCCCCAGTGTGACGTGCAGGACTCGGGTGCCACGGGCGAAGGGGTTCCTGTTTGGCGCGGTGAGCTAGGGGCAGGTTACCCCTGGTAGGAGAGGTTGTACGGTTCGATGACCGTCACGTCCCACGTAGGCAGAGGCTGGAAACGAGGGGACTTATGTTCGTGGCTGTGAACTGGCTCACAGGGATGCAATCTCTGTCTTATTGTGAATCTATAACCTATACTCGCGGCCTTCCTTGCCTGCCAATCAATAGCGTGCTGTATTTTGAGTTTGCCCCGAAATTCAAGGGTTAAAAAAATTTTAAAGGGATGAAATTTGAAGGAAGAAAGAGTGGTTTTGAAACGGGGGAAAAAGTTAAAAAAGAGAGAAATTTTTTTTTTTACCTAGTCACCCGGTTGTCTGCTGTAGGGATTAATCCATGACGACCCTCTCTAAAGAGGACGAGATGAACAGAGTAAGGGAGAGAGAGTGAAAAGGGCGATCAGCTTGACACATAGCACGGGGAAGTACAACAGCTGGAAGCACATGTCGCGAGCCCGCTCGAAAGGAGGACGAGGAAGCGGTCTGGAGTCGTTTAACGACAGAGGAGAGAGAGTGAACATAGAGGGAGGCGAGAGTGAAGAGGAGGAGAGCGTGAAATTGTGGGTGAGAGATAGAGGTTGCGGAGGTAAGTGAGGAGCAGTAGGAGGTGAAAGAGGGAGGATGAACAGGGCTGGATGAGATGAGAAGAGGAGAAGAGTGAGAGTCTACGGGAGGGAGAGTGAAAAGGCGGGCGTGGCGCTGCGGGTCGTGAGAGAGGCGTTGTCGCGCTTGCGGGTGAAGGGCGAGAGAGAGTGAGAGTAGAGTGAATGTGATGGAGGGAGACTGTGAAAGAGGGGAGGGAGAGGGAAAGATGAGGGAGAGGAGTGAAGGAGAGTGAAAAGGAAGAGAGGTTATATTTTTACCCTAGTGCACCTCCATGTTGTCTGCCTGTGTAGGAGATTTAAGGTTCCCATGACGACCTCCTCCTAAACTAGCAGGGGCTGAATGAGGAGGACTTTGTTCTTGGGCTTTGAACTGGCATCAGCAGACTGCATCTTCTCCCTCTACTGCTTCATAATCATATACACTATACTCCCCCTTCCCTTCCCTTCCACATACATACATACATACTGTACATGCATTGCCTTCAGAAAGTATTCACACCCCTGGACTTTTTCCACATTTTGTTGTGTTAAAACCTGAATTTAAAATGGATTAAATTGTGAGCGTGAAAAACTCGGCAGCGTTGCAGTTCTTGACACTCAAACCGGTGCGCCTGGCACCTACTACCATACCACGTTCAAAGGCACTTAAATATTTTATCTTGCCCATTCACCCACTGAATGGCACACATACACAATGCATGTCTCAATTGTCTCAAGACTTAAAATTCCTTCTTTAACCTGTCTCCTCCCCTTCATCTACACTTATTGAAGTGGATTTAACAAGTGACATCAATAAGGGATCATAGCTTCCACCTGGATTCACCTGGTCAGTCTGTCATGAGCATGTTTTGTACACTGTGTATAACGCGACTGTACTGTCTTCAGTATCCTCACTACTTCTCCCCAAAAAGAATACTTGAATCTGTGACATCAAGCTCCATATAAGGGCATATCGTGACATTTCTATGTAGCAGGGTTTTCCCCCACGAGGGTGCACACGCACATGCGCAGTTCTTACCCATCTCCGCTGCTGTGGCAGCCGGCTACGTAAAAAATAATGATATAAAATAATCGCAAATATTGTAGGTGGAAAAGTACACATTTCCTGACTCAAAACCGATAG